ATCAGCATCTAGAAGGCAAAATGTCTGACAGTATAGGCTAATCACTTGACATCAAAGGGATATCCCCCCTTTCATCTTTCATTCCAATCCTGCGTAAACCATGTAATATTTTCCCACCTTTTCCAAAACTTCTACTCATTATGATAGTGTCCAGACAATATCAGCAGTGAACTAGATAAAACGAAAGAAAAAAATGCCGCGAAGTAGTAATATTTGGAACAATTTCACGATAAGCGACAGCACAAAACTTGCAACGCTTCATACCAGCCTGGGATGCAACGATGAGCCATTGTTGACATCTTCTTTGGTTTTATTATCGAGAATCGTGATAGACAAAAAACTACTGTGAGGACCATTAGTTTATTTCATATAGTTAATAAATTTGTTAATACTTATCAGAAACAATTTAGCCGAAATAAAAAATACAATAACCTAATTAGGTATTGTTCTATTTTGTGATCAGCACACATTGAAAACAGATCAAAGAGGGGCCTCCGTGACGTACTGACTGTGTTCTCCAATTCTATGATTTTGATCATCATGCAATTTGCTTATTCTGTATTCCAATCAAAAGTTTTATCGGGTGGACTGTAAGTTGTACGTTAATGTCTGTCTGCATATGCGCAGAAAAGGTATTCTCAAAAATCGCAATGAGAGAACCGAACTCTCAAACAGTGTGTCAATAAGGATTTAAAAAATAACAGAGACCAGTAAGGATTTTGTACTGTTTATTCTTTCCTTTTTACGGCCCATATGAGAAACTAAATATATAAACATTTAACTAAATATATATATTTAGTCATGTATTACTGGTATGATTTTTAGCAAAGGTATTTACTGAGTCATTTTGAACAGATATCGGCAACTCCAGTATCGGCAAGATGGCCGTGTATCGGCTGATACCGATTTCTCTCGATGTTGAAACCGATAATCGGACCATAACTAGAAATAAACCATAGTAATTGCAATTATTCCATAAAAGTGTGTCATTTGATGATTCATTGTCTCAGTAATATTTTACCATTTTTCATCCAGCTTTGTCCGGGTGATATTTGCAATTCCATTTTAGACTGCAATTATTCACACTAGACTAGTTACATCTAGAATCTAAAGATTAATAATTTCACTTTCTGTGCAAAATTTAACACATATTATGGTTATATTTAACTAATAGATATTGCCAATATGATCACTATGGTGATTTTCTATAACAAAGGTTTTTGCTTTGTTTCTAACAATAGTTATTTTTTTACTAGGCAAAAAAAATGTACCTCAACATTGTGAAATAAGTTTTATGCAATATTTTTCTGTGGAATACAAATTTCTTGCTTAACTGAATAAACAATAATCAATACTGTTTGGCTTTTGTTTTTTTTTTAAATAAATATTTGAAACAATGGTAGACTTGTGGTCAATATCTACACAACTGAAACCAGATATTAATGAAATTTCCTGTAAGAATTCCATTATTTTGAAACACAATCTGAGTAAAACACAGGTCCTATTTTGTTTCGTTTTTTATAGTTCAAAATTTCGTTTTACTTGTCCATTGAAAGTATAAAAAAATGAAGCGAAATATAGATCTGTATAGATTTGGCATGAATAATTATTGTCTACACCTTATTTCCCAATCAAAATAGAAATAGATGATACATGTATGACATGAATAATTATTATGGGAAATGAATGATTATTATGGGACATAAGAGATTGAGAACTAATTTCTGATCTGTGCACTGTAATCTCCTGACATCAACCTTGCAGCTACCACATGTTCCTGATCATATGGTCCGGTGGCTGATGGGGGGAATCGCCACCTGAGCTGTGAATTTTGGAGACCCAAGTTTTCCATGACTAGTTTTTTGCGTAGATTCCAAATCTGTGTGGTGATCAGGCATTTGAGCGGTTGTTTTCAAAATGAAGGGGGGGGGGGGTCCAATGTCTACAATTGGAAAGAAATGTGATTTTCTTAACATAAATGATGATCATGTTATATATTAATAAAACATAAATTTCTAGGACTGCCCATCTCTAATTATGATGCCCCTGGACATCTATTTTGATTTGTGGGGTTGGGTGGGGTGGCGGGTTGCAGGTGCATGTGTAGAACAGTGGGTAAAATTGGTGTGAGTTCATGTTGATATAAATGATGATTTTCTTAGAGTTTGGTAAAAACATTACTTTTTAATGCCGCTGCACCTCTCTAAATATGTGTATAAGATTCCCATTGTGTTGGGTGGGAGGCAAAATACATTTTTGGGGACATAAAACACTTGGTTCAAAATTAACTTGAAAAGTGACTTCTCGCTAGCTTTTTCGTTCAGTACCAATTTCGCCTTTCAAAATATTAAATTATAAAGGTTCTAGATCTCTTGAAAAGTACTATTACAATTTAATATTTTGAATGACGGAATTGGTACTAAACAAAAATGCTAACAAAAAGCCACTTTTAAGGTCATTTTTTAACCAAATGATTTCTGTACCCAAAAATACAATGGGAATCTTATACACATTTAGAGATGTTTCATCAAGCTCTAAGAAAATCATCATTTAAATTAATGTGAACTCATTTCCCGCCACTTTGACCCTGCTCCCCAAAACACGCACACCTGCAACCCCCTACACCACCTCGCCACAAATCAAAACAATTGTCCAGGGACATCATAAACACCTATTTAGAAATACACAGTCCTAGAAATTTATGTTTTATTAATATATGACATGATCATCATTTATGTCAACATAATAACATTTTCCCTGAATTGTAGACATTGGACCCCACATATTTTAAAAATACCCCCTCAAATGCCAGATCACCACCCAGATTCGGAATCTACCAAAAAACAGTTCTAGAAAAACTTGGTCTCATAAATTCACAGCTTGGGTGGCAATTTCCCCCCCTTCAGCCACCGGACTAATATAAAAATTAATAGAAATGTATTTAGGTTTGATTTCTCATTTAGCTTTCAAAGGCAGTTTGCAAACAATGTGTCATAAACATTTCCATAAATATATTATTTTTTTTCATGCATGAAAATGTAAATCTAGCGATAGAAGCGCTCAACATGGATTGGATATCATTTGATCTAAAATTATTTTCTGTCAGTTATATGAATAATGTGTTTAAACATAAAATGGAAGTCCTTCAGTAGCTATAATGCACAAAGCATAATAATTTTTAAAGCATGTAATATCTGGCATGTAAAAAACTGAGATACATGCCCCAAATTTTTAAGAAAGAACATGTTGTAAATATTATTTTTATTTATAAACTATAATATAGATATTACTTCATCTTAGTGTCTTTTCCTATTATGAAAGCATGCCTATGCCCCTATGTCTTAAATGATTTACCATGTTGAATGGACTATACATTCTGAAAATATTGTGGCCTGAAAGGTGTCAACATAGCCTTGGTTGTGAAAAAATTTTGGTGATGTCAAATGGTCACTTTTATTTCAGTTCATCACTTTTTTTTTAATATTCCCCATTTCAATGTACATATACAACTGTCTTATCTTCTTCCATTATTATAGAGCTATTCTGCATAATTATGATACAATACACCCCAATCCTGTATTTTAGGTCCATAATAGATCTATTTGATGACTTGAATGAAATGATTGCTCAGATATGACAAGATTGAAAAAACGGCATACTGTACATAAACCTGCACAGAATTTTATTATTATTCGCCCACATTTTCATTTGGATGTGTATTATCATCGCTCATGTTCGTCCGTATGAAAAATCGTGTTATTAGCTTGTGGTTCCTCTAGAGGTCAGTATTATTATCCGATTTAAAAAAATGTTTGAGTATATCACCGGTACACTGTAATGATGTTGAGTTCAAATTTCGTGAAAATCGGACCAAAAATGCCAGACAAAATGGCTGTCCGTCGTACGCAAATTTTAGTGTGAATATATGGTATATCAAGGTTGTGGACCCTCTAGAGGCCACAATTTTGATCCAATTGTGATGATACCTGAAATACATGTTTATAACCCAAAGATCTTGACTCTTTTCAATAAACACACATATCGGATTGTAACTTTCTGAATTATGGCCCTTGATATTATAAAAATTACATTTTTAGCTTGTGGTCCCTCCAGAGGTAGCAATTTGTATCCAATGTAAAAATACCTTTGAATGTATCACCGTTACACCCTAATGATGACTCAGTTCGAATTTCGTGAAAATCGGACCAAAACTACCGGACAAAATGGCCTCCCACGTACACAAATAGTGTAAATATATTGTATATCAAGGTTGTCGACCTTCTTCGAGGCCACAATTTTGATCTGATTTTTATGATACTTGAAATACATGTAACAATTTTTATCCGATTTAAAAAAACGTTTGAATATATCACTGTTACACCTTAATGATGGTTGAAGATGAATTCGTGAAAATCGGACCAAAACTGCTGGACAAAATGCCAATCCCTCATACGCAAATAGTGTAAATATATGGTATGTCAAGGTTGCGGACCCTCTAAAAGTCACAATTTTGGTCCGATTTTGATGAAACTTGAAATATGTCTTTATAACCCAAAGATCTTGATTCCTGGCGATATTCGCGCATATAGGAACGTAACTTCCTTAATTATGGCCCTTGATTGTACAAAAAATCACGTTTTGTTTAGGTTGTTCTCTATCCATCTCTTGCAAAATGTGGGCGTATCTTGCCTGGCAGCTGCTGGTCCTGACAGATTAATGGCGATGAGAAATCGGACTGTCACAGAAAATAAATTCTTGGTGTCATTCAACATTAAAATTGTCAGTTTTCACTTGATCTCGGAAAATATAAGTATGTTGAAACATGCAATGAGCAGAAAGTTATCTGCACAATGAATTTACTAGTCAGAACCGTATCTCCAATTCGACCTGACAAACATAATTCAAAGATTATTGCATATGTAATTGTGACAAAGATGATGAGAGTCAATGTTGTTAGAAATAACAGTCTTATCAAATAAATTGAATTTAATGTTTTTTAGGGTACATGTAGAGTTTTTTACCAATGAAAAGTCAGTAAAAGAACGATTACAGCTTTATTTTATAAAGAACCAGAGATCTAGTAAGTTTATGCAATATTCATCTGTCGATTTTTCAACTGGGAACAACTGCTTTCAACCAGGCTTATGTCAATCGGGCTGCTTACATCAACTCGAAAACTATAGCAATTACACTTAACATGTGACTGTTTATTTATTTATCACATGATCAACAAAATGGCGAATGCCCTAGAAGGTGTATCCCAAAAGTATGGTCTGTCATGACACAATTCTTTTGTAGCATTATTGTCAACACTTGAAAGATTGGTGCCTTGTTAGCTTCCATTTTGCCTATTTACACAGTCGTATGACCCATTTCTCCTATCGGTTATTTCCATGAAAACTAGTTTTAGTCAGTTGTAATTGTGCTCTATCAACAGCAACTACTAGTTGTCACCAATTGCAGAAAGTTAAACATGGGCAACTGGCTTCAAATGACTGGAACTTGTTGATCAAACACACTAAGGAGAATTCATTTGAAGATAATTTTTGTACCTAACATTATATTTGTTTTTTTTAAATAAATATATGTACATACATGTACATGTATATCTCTAAGCACAAAACATATATTTTCTTTAATGGTTATTAATACATGTAGGTCTAGCCATTTTAGAAGAACGTTTATACTGACACAAAATAAGGTGATTCCTGTAGAAATAGACCTGTATTCACCAATGGCTCAAATATTTACATTATTGATTCGATTATTGAAAAAATAATAAAAAATTGTATTTGTCTAGCAGAACTATATCTGGATATTTCATTGAAAATAGAGTAGGAACACAGACGGATATGCTATAGTTTTAGATTTAATGTACTTGTCACCATTTCCCATGTCAGTTTCATGGTATTTTTATCTATTATTTATAATATTTTTCAGGTCTTCGTATCCGAACCTTCAATTTGATAATAAAACTATTAACATGTATATTATATGTGGTTCGTGTTTCTATGGACAATTCCTACATCTGGTAAGTAGTTTGCAAAGTGTAGTTAACAGCTTGCTGTATTGATTATATCATCACTTCCCCCATTTATAAAATGAAATGTAATTGGGGTTGAACATCATAGTTTTCTGAACCAATCAGGCTATGAAGACAGGCAGTGTGCTATGAGAGAAATTTTGCTTTGATGGTTGTATAGATGGGACCTTGGTTTTTCGGTTCAATTCACATTACTTTTCCTTGTCTTGACCTCCATCATGTACCCCCGATAAGTGGAAATCGGGCTGGGAAATCTTGAGGACAATTTTTAGCCAGTACCTGGATCAAAGGAAGCTTATACATACCGAGCAATCATTGTTCTTCCATTTAAATAGAAGGCACATAATAAATGGATACAAGTAATTTAATTTGTGTGGAAAATACAGGTGTCAGTCAGACGCGGATCCAGGCGGGGGCGCACCCGACGCACGCCCCCCCCCCTTTTTTTTGCGATGGCAAAAATTTGTTTACCCTATTCTATATAACTTGTAGGCTATGTCATTACCCACTGTCAGACAATGCACATAAAAGTCTATTAATCCATAATATGTATTACCTTTTATACGCCCACAATTTCATGTGGATGTATATTGTCGTCGCCCCTGTCCATCCACAATTGTTTGTGAACACCCTACAGTTCTTGGATCCTTTCGATATTTGGCATGTCGGACCTTAACTTCCTAAATTATGGCCCTTGACTGTACGAAAAATTTAGGTCACAATTATTATCCGATTTAAAAAACCACGTGTGAATATATCACAGTTATACACGAATGATGGTTGTGTTCGAATTTCATGAAAATCGGACAAAAAACTGACCGAAATAATAGCCGCCCCTTGTACGTAAATAGTGTAAAAATTATGGTATATCAAGGTTGTGGACCCTCTAGAGGTCACAGTTTTTATCCAATTTGGATGAAACTTTAAATGTATGTTTTTATCATAAAGATCATGGTTCCTTTTGATAATCACACATATCCGAACGTAACTTCCTGGATTATGGCCCCTGATTGGTTGAAAAATCACATTTTAGCTTATGGATTCTCTACAGGTCACAATTTTTTGAGGTACCTCACGTTGAGGTAGAATGTTCAAACTTTGTATATGTGTACATTAGGTGAATATCTTGACAGATTACGATGATTAGCATTTTCTGCTAAGCCGATGCTTTTGGACATGATGACTGATTCTTTTTGAGTAAGTATGATGAAACTTGGTATATAGTTTCACTACATCAAAACCACGACTGACCTCAGTCATAAACATTTTCTCCTCAGGCTAATTAAACAGGGGCGGATCCATGAATTTTTGCAGGAGGTAGTTTGACAGGTTCCTGACGCAATGTATCTTTTGGGGAAAATTTTTGAGTAATAAATGATCTCTATCAACATTTTGGCGTATATCTTGGGTAACCAGAGGTCACTTTGACCAAAAACTGTGATTTTACATAAAAACATACTAAATATATGTACCTACTCTGCTAAGTTTTAGTTTTACTGATGTGCAATAAAATCAATTCTGCACGATTTTGACAGCAAACTTTAAGGAAGCAAAATAGAAAAACAACAACAAACCGCGACTGTGTCAAACACCAAAATATCAAAAAAATTCATCACATAAACTATCATTTATTTTTTTCCAATATGCCGGGGCACAGATAACTTGACAAGAGCCTGAAATAGAGTTTTGCACAGTTATGACTCTAAATATAATGGGGAGAATAAACGGGGTGCATGTTTTTGATGAACAGTTCTATAATGACATTGATAGTTAACGTTCATTAGGACCATAGTCAGACGACCATCTGTCATAGTAGAACCATCTGATGATAAAGCACATGACCGTGACACTTTTTTCATAAAAAATGTTGTTTTACAATTTTTTTTATGTAGTTGAGTAAGTTGCTTGATGCTTTATAAAATGATAAATGTACAATTAAGTGATATGTGTCATCTATTTATTTTGGGATTGATGCCTAAGGTTGACTTGTTTGACAATAATTTGTTTTTAGATCTTAGTATGTAGATTAAACTAGTGTTCAAATATAAGCAACTTCGATTTAAACAGTTAAGTAAAAACAAAACTAAATTAAGCTCTTAGATCGACCAACTTTTGTCAGCTGAAATTGGAAATGAATAATTGAAACAATGTATCTGATCAGCCAGGGTAACCTATAATACAGGGATGGGATTTCGGCCGTATATTCTGGACTTGTCCGACACTATTTTCTAAACGCCCAAAATTGTCCCACCGGGAACATGCCCAATCGGACATCAAGACATTGTGAATAATATTCAACATTCCAAAATTAATATAGTGTACTGAGTGTATAACTACCACTCACCCCGATTATCGTTGATAATAGGCCGGATTGATTAGGTAATTAAGTGATCAACATATTTATCGTGTTATACCGTCTATACACCTACCTTGATTAACTACTTAACCTGCCCTGATTTTCGGATAATTCATCAGTGGCACTTTCCTGTGATCTCGAGCAGCGCACGAAAATTGCTTACTATGAAGCTATGTGATATGAGTCACGTACGCCATATTTGATATGTATCAGACAACTTACACTGGAACCCAGATATCATTTAATCTTGTGTATCTAGCACTAATTTCTTTCACATTCATTTAATATCAAATCTTTGTTTAAAAATTTGTGAAAATCATTTGAAATCACCCAAAATCATCTAATTTTATTTGACAGAAGTACAAATTAGATGATTTTTATACGCCCACATTGAAATGTGGTCGTATATTGTTGTCGCCCCTGTCCGTCCGTCCGGCGTCCACAATTGCTTGTGGACGCTCTAGAGGCTAAAGTTAATATCTGATTGACTTTAAATTTATACACAGTGTTTAAGGTCATGAGATGAAGAAGCCTATTGATATTTAGTGATTTCCTATAATTACTGCCAGAGTTATGGCCCTTGATCACTTCAAAAAATCTTGTGGACGTTCTAGAGGTCAAAGTTAATATCTGATTGACTTTAAATTTATACACAGTGTTTAAGGTCATGAGATGAAGAAGCCCATTGATTTTCAGCAATTTCCGATAATTACTACCAGAGTTATGGCCTGTGATCACTTCAAAAAATCTTGTGGACGCTCTAGAGGTCAAAGTTAATATCTGATTGACTTTAAATTTATACACAGTGTTTAAGGTCATGAGATGAAGAAGTCTATTCATTTTCCGCGCTTTTCGATAATTACTGCCAGAGTTTTGACCCTTGATCACTTCAAAAAATCTTGTAAATGCTCTAGAGGCTAAAGTTAATATCCGATTGACTTTAGATTTATACACAGTGTTTGAGGTCATGGGACGAAAAATCCTGTTGATTTTCAGCAATTTCCGATAATTACTGCCAAAGTTATGGCCCTTGATCACTTGTGACGCTCTAGAGGCTCAAGTTATCATCCGATTGACTTCAGATTGATACACAGTGTTTAAGATCTTGATTTGAACAAGTATATTGATTTTCAATGAATTTTTATGACTTGAACAGCTAAATCCATGATGTTAAATGTTTCGTATACTAAACGTTAGCATGGGGCAGAACTTTATAAAACCAAACAAATTCTAATGGTTTTCTGATAATTACATGAGTTGTTACTCCTAATCAGATTTTAGTGTATTATAAATGTTTCATTACCGAAAAAAGTAAAATATGCGACAACTCTTGTTGACTGCCCGGACGATATAGCTGCTGTGGGCGTATGTTTTGTTGCCTGGCAACCTATCTTTGGTGATTTTAAAGGATTTTTATGAATTTTTAAACATGGATTTGATATTGAATGAATGTGAAAGAAATTAGTGCTAAATACACAAGATTAATTGATACCCAGGTTCCAGTGTTAGCAGCTCTAGGTATAAACATATTATGTTTCATTGCCTTGCTACCTATATTATGAATCTGTTTATTAAACTATTTTCTTTATTATAGTGCTTCTGGTCAAAGAGTGTGTACAAATGGAACTATTCATCGCAAGATGGATCCGGTGGATTTTCATGACAGTCCTCAAATTAATTGGTAATTTATTTTACTACTCTTGACTGGATGATGGTGGTAGACAAGTAGTTATGGCTAGTTAAAAAAATAGTCATCTTTCAACTAAAACCTCTATAGTTTGGCCTAGCATGCATGGGCCGAAAAGAACCTTTTGCGAATTTAAAGCTTGGATCCCAGGGTATGTTCTGATGAGCAGAACAGGGAAGTGTTCCTAGTCATTTAAAGGAAACAAATTATCAAGTTCTAACCTGTGCAGACATTAGCATGCTTTTAAAACAACATTTGATAGTTGAAATTGAAAGACTGAAAACTGCAGTCCAGGCAAATTTTCCTTCCCTGCATTGTTAGTCTAAAAATGATCTAGGTAAATGGCCTATGTTTCAGGCAAAAATGACTAATCCATGTACATAAAATCTTGAATTGTCCTACAGTAAATGTTTGTTCTTTTTTTTTCAGGGATGCTATATTGTGGGTGGAACGTCATTTTGTTGTCTGGATTTGCCAAGTGACAGTCGCTATCATCAGTCTTGCAGAAACATTTTTAGTTCAGTATTTAAGCTATAAGGTAAGTCTTGTAAATACTTACTTTAGTAACCGGTAACCATATCTGTACAATTCCAGTAAATGAAAGAAATTGTTTTAATTGCTTCATTAACAAAATATACTAAGCAGCAAAAGAAACGTCAGGTTGGTATGTTACTCTGCATAAAACTTGCCAAATGTTTTTATACACCCACATTTTCATGTGGACGTATATTGTTGTCGCCCCTGTCCGTCCGAACGTACGTCCATCCACAGTTGTTGGGGACACTCTACAGATCACAATTTTTATCCGATTTCAACGAAACTTGAAATATAGGCTTATCTCCCTAAGATCTCGGTTCTTTTTGATATTGCCATATGTCAGACCGTAACTTCATGGATTATGGCCCCTGATTGTACGAAAAATCACGTTTTTAGCTTGTGGACCCTATAGAGGTAATAATTTTTATCTGATTTAAAAAACGTATTATTATATCACCGTTACTCCCTAAGAACAGCTGAGGTTGAATTTCGTGACAATCGGCTCAAAATGACAGACAAAATGGCAGCCGTTCGTTCTCAAATAGCGTAAAAATATCGTATATCAAGGTTGTGGACCCTATAGAGGTCACAATTTTTATCCGATTTTGTTGAAACTTGAAATGTAACTTTATATCCCAAAGATCTCGGTTCCTTTCGATATTTGCGCATATCGGACTGTCACTTCCTGAATTATGGCCCCTGATTGTACGAAAAAATCATGTTTTTAGCTTGTGGACCCTGTAGAGGTCATAATTTTTATCCGATTTAAAAAAACATATTAGTACATCACCGTTACACCCTAAGGACAGCTGAGTTTGAATTTCGTGAAAATTGACAGAGAAAATGGCCGCCGTTCGTTCTCAAATAGCGTAAAAATATGGTATATTATCATGGTTGTGGACCCTATAGAGGTCACAATTTTTATCCGATTTTGTTGAAACTTAAAATGTAAGTTTATAACCCAAAGATCTCGGTTCCTTTCGATATTCGTGCATATCGGACTGAACGTCCTGAATTATGGCCCCTGATTGTACGAAAAATCGCGTTTTTAGCTTGTGGACTCTATAGAAGTCATAATTTTTATTCGATTTAAAAAACTGTATTATTATATCACTGTTACACCCTAAGGACGACTGAATTCGAATTTCGTGAAAATCAACCCAAAAATTGACAGAAAAAATGGCCGCCGTTCATTCTCAAATAGCGTAAAAATATGGTATATCAAGGTTGTGGACCCTAAAGAGGTTACAATTTTTATCCGATTTTGTTGAAACTTGAAATGTAAGTTTATAACACAAAGATCTCAGTTCCTTTCGATATTCGCGCATATTGAATTGTAATTTCCTGAATTATGGCCCTTGATAGTTGGAAAAATCACTTTCTTGTTAGCTTGTTCTCTATCCATCTCTCGAAAATGTGGGCGTATCCTGCCTGGCAGCCGCTGGTTTAGCTTTTTCTTTATCCATATATCTCTTACAAAATGTGGACGTATCCTGCCTGACAGCTGCTGGTTATTGTATATTTGTGACCACATCTTCAACTTTACCTGAGCAATAAGGCTCCTTCCCAAACACAGGCATCTGAGACAGCACGTCAGACAGTGGGAACACACAGAAGACCCATTAGTACCGATACAGTACGCCGACATCTCACCAGAGAGAACATCCATTGCCGTAGACCTTACCATGGACCGATCCTCGCCATCGACGTGAACGTCTACAGTTTGCCCGTCAACACCAGATCTGGAGACACAGGCAATGGAGAACTGTTATGTTCACAGATGAGAGTCGGTATTGCGTATCAACTGCAGATGGCAGGACCAGAATATGGCGTCCATGTGACCAGCGTTATTCTGACGAATGTGTCATGGAACGAGACTCGTGGGGAGGTCCAAGCATAATGGTTTGGGGTGGAATTGGCCTGAACCAGAGAGTGGGTCCTTTGGTGTTCCAAAATCTTGGTCCAGGGAGAGGAGCCGGCATCAAGCAGTTTGCTACATCGATCAAACTCTCACACCCCACATCATACCACATTTTGCTCGTCATCGAAACAACATTGTCCAGCATGACAACGCCCATGCACATACCGGGATTTTCTACAGCAGAACGGTGTCAACGTTATGCACTGGCCAGCCCTTAGTCTGAACTTAAACCCGATTGAACATCTTTGGGATGAAATTCAGAGGAGACTTAATAACATCATACCAAGACCAAACACAGCTGATGGATTGTGCCAGGATTTTCTGAGAGTGTGGTTCCAGGTGCCAACAGCATTCTTCAATCGTCTTGTTCCATCCATGTACAGATGCTGCGCTGCTGTTATTGACACTTGCGGTGGATACACCAGATACTGATGTATAGACTGTGTACAGACTAAACCTTCTCATAATGTCTTGGAATTCTGATGATTCAATCACTTATGTGTCAACATACTTTTTAAAAAAATTGCTTTGATCCATTTAGTAAGGCATTTTCTAGAATGATTTTTTTGCTGTTTAGTATAGTTTAATTGTCTCCCGTCTGTCTGTCACACTTTTTGGGACACACTAACTCTCTTTCTAATTGAGCTAGAATGTTCAAACTTGGTGTAGGTGTTTATTAGGTGAATGCCCTGATGGAGTTCGAAGATGAGCATTTTCTACTTAAGGTAAGCAGAGATCAGCAATTTGATTGGTTGATGCTTTGGGACACGATAACTTTAGTTCTAATTAAGTGAGAGTGAGGACACTTGGTATATAGTTTTATCAACTCAATAATAAGCATTTTCTGCTTAGGGTAAGCAGAGCGATAAGCAATTTGATTGGTCAAGACTTTGGAACACAATAACTCTCCTTCTAGTTGCGGTAGAATGTTAAAACTTGGTGTAGGCGTCCATTAGGTGAATGCCTTGATGGAGTTTGACGATAAACATCGTCTGCTTACGGTAAGCAGATATAAGCAATCTGATTGGTTGATGCTTTGGGGCCAATAACTTTGGTTTTAATTAAGTGAGAGTGATGAAACTCCGAGTATAGATTCATTATATCACTACCTTGACTAAGTTTGATGATGAGAATTTTCTGCTTACGCTAAGGATCGATAAGCAATTTGATTGGTCAAGACTTTGGAACATAACAACTCTGTTTTTAATTGAGGTAGAATGTTTAAACTTATGTTGATGTTCATTAGGTGAATGTCTTGACTGAGTTCAATGATTAACATTTCGAGCTGAAGCTAAACAGAGCTAAGCAATTTCATTGGTCGATGCTTTGGGACAAGATAACTTTGATTCTATCTGATAGAGAGTGATGAAACTTATTGTATAGTTGATAATCAGTTTGATTGCTTGATATTTTTGAAAAAAAAAAATAAATGTGCGATTAATTAATATGTGTCATCTATTTATTTTGGGATTACGGTGGGGGACATCAGGTTCACTGTTGGCTTGTTTCTACAACTCGTCCCTGAGGACAATTCATCCCCAGAAAATTCATATCAGGACTATTAGTCCCATAGGACTATTTGTCCCCTAGGGCTATTCGTTCCCGGACGATTTGTCCCCATGGACAATATATCCCCAGACTATTTGTCACCTAAGACAATTCATCCCCTAGGACAGTTTGTCCCTGAACAACAATACTGGTAGTTCCATTATCAAAAAGAAAATGTGCGATTAATTAATATGTGTCATCTATTTATTGTGGGATTTCAGTGGGGGACATCAGGTTCACTGTTGGCTTGTTTCTACAACTCGTCCCTAAGGACAATTCCTCCCCAGACAATTCGTATCAGGTCTATTAGTCCCATGGGACTATTAGTCCCATAGGACTATTTGGCCCCGGACAATATGACCCCAGACTATTCGTCACCTAGGACAATTCGTCCCCTAGGACAGTTTGTCCCTGAACAACACTACTGGTAGTTTCCATTATCCAAAAACTGAATTAATCTTTAGAATTTTTATTCTAAATCTCAGTTTTGATGCTAGTTTAGTTTTGATGCTAGTTTACTTCGTTTTACATTTAGTATTAAATCTAGGCCTTAACTTAATGGTTCCTGAAGTTATTCTGGCTCATTGATATGCATGTAGTAATCAGTGATACCTTTTGTGAGTTAAAGAATCTATTTATCCCTTCACATTTGGGTATTGTCCATTGTCAATACTGCACTTGACTAAAATCAATATGCATTATTGTGTATGATAAAACAATGAAGACCAGACATCAGTAAGTTTCAACTTCTTCAATTTCTTTAGAATTAGCTGTTGATCATAATTAGGGGACGAATAGACCTTGGGGACGAATTACCTGGGAACCAATAGTCCTAAAGGACGAATAGTCCTAGGGGACTAATTATCCGAGGACAAATTGTCTGGGGACAAATTATCCGGGGACGAATAGTCCTAGGAGACAATTTGTCAGGGAACGAGTTGTCAGGGGACAAGTTGTCTGGGGATGAATTTTCCCGTAGCCGCATACTGTATACTTGTAGTGTGCCAATTCTTCCTGATAGGGTGAAAAACTTAAGTCCACATTTGTGTGCCTACACTTGACACTTGGAATTCAATGAATTGTAGGTCATCTGAAAAAATTCCACATTTCATATAGAGCACATAACCATTTAAAAAAACAACAACATATGTCAGTCCCAAAATGACAGCAGTAATATCTTGACCATATGGTAAACACCATTATTTATCTTTCCATTCTCTCCCTAATGAGAAAACAAAAAGTAAAGCTAGATTATTATCAGTGAGTATAGTTTAATATCAAGCTAATAGTATTATATAAGGTACATGTATATGTAACCGTATACTTCCGTTATAGGTTGTTCATTCATAATTAATGTATTTGTGAAACTAATTATTCCCTCAGGATAATTATATCTATAATGCATGAGGCTTCTTCCACATAGAATGTAATGTATAATTATAGAACAATCAGAAAGAAATATGATTATTTGTAAACCCAAAATAGCTGTCCTAAAATTCCTTACATTTTAATTCGAACTGAACATTTTTTTACGTCAACATCAAAATAATGGTCGTATATTGTCACCGCCTCCTCTGTCGGTCTGGCAATTGCTTGTGGCAGTCTAGATCCTAAAGCCAATATCTGATGGTCCTTGCTCACATTTGTAATCACAATACCTCTGTATAAAATTCCTTCTAGATGTGGCATCACATCACGCTGCGTTGATCATTGGCTCGATAGCTTGTGCAGTGTTTACTCACAGTGGACTGGTCCAGGCAGAATGTTGCCTTTTAATCATTTTATATACTCATTTACATTAAATGGGAAATATTTTTTATCCAGATATACTTCATACACCCTTATTTGTTTTTCTATTACTCAAAAAATGTTCTAGAATTTAATTTGCAGAAGGAAAAACATTCTGAGTTCACTAACAAACACGATTGTCATTCTTCTCAGTGATATTAGCAGCCTAGCGTATATTCACTGCTGATCAGTGGGAGAAAGGTTTTGTCATTGATCTAAGAGCTAAAGTTATCATGTAATTGATTAGAAATTTATGCAGTGTTTATTTTCATGAGACTAAGTCTTTCGATTTATCAACACGTCAACCAGCTAAAGTTATCATTTGATTACTGGTACATGTTTAGTATAAAGATTGTTAGCATTACGAATAACTAGATATGCCAATTAAACTTTATTATTTCTAATAACGACTTTATGAGTTGTTATTCTTGGTCAATTTTTATACGCCCACATTTTCATGTGGACGTATATTGTCGTCACCCCTGTCCGTTTGGCCAACAATTTGTTTGTGGACACTGTACAGGTCACAATTTTAATCAGATTTTGACGAAACTTGAAATATAAATATATCTCTCAAAGATCTCAGTTCCTTTCGATATTGGTATGTATCGGACCATAACCATGGCCGAATGGTTAGCACGTGCGCGCTGTATCATACGGTCTGTCATTGAGTCAACTGGCGGGGTTTCGATTCCCCGGTTGTACGTGACAAGGAGTAGGGTCGCCTGTCCAACCTCGTGGGTTTTCTCCGGGTCCTCCGGTTTCCTCCCACTGCTAAAGACCCCTTACGCGCAAGCGAATTATTGAAATAAAATTGAACCATGTGTTAGTCCCGAAATGACCTAGTTTGTGTCGAGTGGACGTTAAACCCCATAAAACGGACGGAAATGAAATGAAATGAAATGGAGTTTAACGTCCTACTGTTTTGCTCCTAACCTGGGCTAATGAAGACGGGCATACGCCATACAGTGTGCTATGAGGGAAATTTTGCCCGGGCAGCGGCACTACAGCCCACTCTTATATCGAATTCCAACTGCCAAGGGATCTTTTACGTGCATGCCAATGTGTACACAGGACCTCAGTTTTTCGTCCCATCCGAACGACTAGACAGTTTTCCTTGTCAGCCCCTCCGTCCTGCATCACACCAGAAAATATGGAGGAACTTTCTCGGCCAATGCAGGGATCGAACACCCGACCTCCAGGCTAGCGAGCTAGCGTCTTACCAACTTAGCCACGTGATCCCCCTAAACGGACAGACATAATGGCTGCCCCTTGCACGCAAATAGTGTAAAAATATGGTATACTTGAAGAATGCTTGGCTTCGCTCAGGGGTCATAACCCCGAAACCGGAAGTGGTAGACTAACGCCACCTGGCCTATGTTACTCCCCGATCCGACCTACCCCTATACCCCAAATTTCAGACTCGGGGCAGACCTAGTATAGCCGCCAACCCCGAACAGACAGACAAATAGACAGACAGACAAACGACAGTTACAAATTAAGGTTGTGGACCCTCTAGAGGCCACAGTTTTTATCAGATTTGGATAAGACTTTAAATATATGTTCTTATCATAATGATCTTGGTTCCTTTTGAAAATCACACATATCTTAACGTAACTTCCTGGATTATGGCCCCTGATTTGTTGAAAAATCACATTTATAGCTTGTGGTTTTTCTAGAGGTCACAATTTTTTTCCAATTTTAAAAATCATTTACATATATCACCATTCCACCATAATGAAGGTTGAATTGGAATTTCAGGAAAATCAAAATGAAACTGCCCGACAAAATGGCTGCTTTTTGTACGCAAATTGTGTTTTATTATGTAATACAAAGGTTATGGACCCTCTAGAGGTGACAATTTTTATCCGATTTTGATGAAACTTAAAACATGTCTAAGTCCCTTTTGATATTTGTGCATTTCAGGCCATAACTTTCTAGATTATGGCCCCTGATTGTACTAAAAATCGTTTTTGTTTTAGTTTGTTCTCTATCAATCTCTTGCAAAATGTGGGCATATCCTGCCTGGCAACCGCTGGTTAATGCCTTGTAAATGCTCCCATTACCTACAAAAGTACAAAAGAAAAAATATGCTGCAATCTTTGTAAACTGCTTGGATGACTCAGCTGCTATGGGTGTATGCTTCGTTGCCTGGCAACCTATATTTTATTAAAAAAAGGACTTTATTCGTTCAATATTTAATTACAACAAAACAACATGTAAACTAAATAGGAATATATCTATATCTACAATAGAATATAGCTATACAATTTTATAATTTGTATATTTCAGGGAAATATCCTACAACAAATTATTTCAATAGAATTTTTAGTGGAACTAATTACAACGGTTCCAGTTATATTTACTGTAAGATGTTTTCATTATTTGAAAATGTAATTAAGAATCTTGAGATTACATGTAATCACAAGACTACCAGTATCTATTGATTCCATAAGTTACCATCCTATCTGGTTAATGGGATTAATAATCACAAAATTGTATTACTGTTACCATGATTTCTTATAATTACTGCTCTAGTTAGTGCACCTAAGACAGAAGTTGTTACCCAGTCATTTGGAACCTTCTCCACATATGAAATGTTATAATAAATATAGTTTGTGAAACCATAATTGCCAATTTCAAAAATAAAGATCTATATCCTCCATTGATAATTTAAACTGTCAAATTGTGTACCAATTATCGTTTTGTATCAGCAATATCATTTTATAAGTTATTCAGTCATTTTGATTTCAGCCTTTTATCTCGTTTTGCTTTCTATCATTGATTGACACACAACTTAAAGGTCTGGGTAAGAGAGGCAATCGTGTGAATATTTAGAATGGTGTAGGTTTTCATACCCAACAATTTCAAGATGACTTTTTCAAATTAATGTATTATTTACCAAAAAGACACAATATTATGTAGTTATGAAAGGGTCATAAATATTTAATGCAAAATGGTGTTAAATTATTCCCAAGTGAGAATGTAGAAGCGCTAGATAAACAACATCGCGACTGTTCTAGATATCGTTAATTATTGTTAATTATATTATTAATTATTGAGAAATCATGTATGCACTGGGAATAAAAGCAGTGAGATATGCTTTTTTTATATTTGTAACCTATGTTGAATTATCTATTTTATGTTTAAGGAACTAAATAATTAATGAATGACTTTTACCAGTGTTTATCATTGCTTTTTACAACTCAAAAACTATGTAATTATTTATATTTTAGATTTTTGAACCATTAAGGAATCTTTTTATACCAGTATTCTTAAATTGTTGGCTGGCCAAACAATCCATGCAGAAAATATTTGTAAGTACAAATATATGAAATATCACTCTTTGCACTTTCTTGGATCTAATGTTCTGACCTGTTCTTTTATTTTATGTACATAAGTTAAGTGGATTTTTCACCTCAAAGTTAATGTTTTGAATCCTTTGACTATACAATCCTTGTCAATGTATACCTTTGACATGTCATTGAATGGATGGATCACAACAATGCAAAAATAACACACCTACATGTAAACATTTGAAAAAGTTATTAGTAGATTTATGATATCACTCTTATAATGACATTTTGACAGTCTTTGTGAATAATTGAATAATTTTTGTGGATGGGACAAAAAAATGAGGTCCTGTTTGTGCAAATAAAATTCTCCTTGATCATTGGAATTCAGACAGAATATTGTAGCAGAAATATGATTGCTTTACATTGCATAGGAAAAAAATAAACATAGTTTAACCACAACGATAATTTAGATAAATGTTAAATGACTAGACTTCTTTTATTTTGGTCAAAAATGGAATTGTCCATTTTGTTTGATTTTCAACTGTTGACAATTATTACATCTACAGATATGACCGAGTTTGTGTTCTACTGTTGACAAATTAAAAGTAGTCAACATTTAAACTAAACTTAGTCAGCAAGCAACCTTAAACTTCATTGAACTAAGCCTGCCTTATTACTAATCGAAATAACAGTACTTTATTTGCTACTAAATTAAAGAAATATAGCACCTTTAAATCCTTTCTGTAATTTGTGAACATTCCAACACATTTTTTCTGAGAATAATACACAGTTTGTATTTATATTTATTTTCAGAGTGATTTACATCGTGTAATGCAGAAAAATCAGTCAGCTTTAGCTCAACAACTACTTATACTCTGTGCTACTTTATTGTGCCTTGTTTTTATTAGGTTAGTCATTATTATTGTCCCCTCTCCCCTTCCAGAGATATCAGGAGACTATGGGTCCATTTGTATGTAAATCATACATTTTAGAATGAAATAACTCTGCTACTAATTGAGGTAGAATATTCGAACTTGGTGCTGGTGTCCATTAAGCAAATGCTTTGTCTGAGTTGAATGGTGAGAATTTAATGCTTAGACTAAGCAGAGGTAAGCAATTTGATATGTGAATGTTAACTTTGATTCTATTTGAGCAAAAGTGATGAAACATGGTGTACAGTTCCATTACATCAATATGTTGACTAAGATCAAAAGAGAGCATTTTCTACTCCAGTTAAGCAGAATGATAAGTAGTTTAATAGGTTGAAATTTTTGGTACACAGTAACTCAAATTTGAGGTAGAATGTTTAAAACAGTTGTAGATGAATGAGCATTATCTGTTCAAATTAAGCACAGTGATAAGCAGTCTACTTGCTTGATACTTGATTAAAAGATAAATATGCAAGTAATGAGTGTCACCTATTTGTTTTGGGATTGAGACCAGGGACATCAGCCTCACTGTTGGATTTAAATTTTGATTTTATTTCTGTTTTATCTCTAAAGCATGAGATTAAACATTGAAAACCTTGATAAGACAATAATATGTTACTATACTAATACAATGCCATAACTTTCAGGCTAGATATAGTTATCCTTTGTTAAAAGTTGTCAATATGTCAAATATTGTTGTCTGATAAATGTAATAAGTTATAGCTTCCTAGAGCCAAACTTTAACATAGCATTGGAAGCTTAGGAATGGCTCCTGGATCTATTAACTTGATTTGAAAGTACTTTTATTATTTACAGTGTCTATACTTGGTTTTTTTTTTCCTTGTCTCATGGGTTCTAGTTTGATGTAGTGTATGGTGCAGTTTTACAACACTATTCTAGTAGAACAAACAGTACATGAATATAGCAAATATAACATATTTTTAGAGCTAACTTGTGTGGTAGAGAGATTCTAAAGTTTAAGCCTACAGAATAATGAACATACATTGGATATATTTTACGAAAGTAGGCTTTAGGTTTAATATGTTTTATAACATAGATTACCATATGCCATCTTCATTATTTAGCACTAATTTAACATAGTACAATGTGCGTCACATTTTGTAATATAGACATTTGTTGGTTGCTAGGTAACAACAAACAATACAAAAATTATTTATATCTAATTTTTGATTGACTTTTTATTGAAAAAATGAAAAACAGTGTTGTTTGATTCTTTTATATTTTATTTCTAAAGACACCCATTTTAAAAATTAGATTCAATGGGATATCCAACAACACATGAAACTATTTGATTCACACGGCAAATCTACTTCACCTAAATTTGGTAGGTGTGTTGCATGGAATTTGGATTATTCAGATTTGTTCAAAACTAGAGACGTGCCATGAAAGGAGGCTGGGCAGAGGAATTGTACAGGGGCAAATTTAGGTAATCTCAAAAAATCGTTGTCTTCAGTATAGCTGAATTGATGGATTTCTTTGAAAAAGGGTATGATTAATTTTTAAGTGAACAAGATAAGTGTTTGTGGACTGGAGCTGTATATATATAGGACCAGACCTGGATACTTGAAAAGACTGGCATTGAAACTTTTTTATACGCCCACATTTTCATGTGGACATATTATGCCGTCGCCCCAGTCCGTCCGCCCGTCCATCCATCCACAATTTGTTTGTGGACACTCTACAGTTCACAATTTTTATCCGATTTTGACGAAACTTAAAATATAGGTATATCTCCCAAAGATCTCGGTTCCTTTTGATATTGGCATATAATGGACCATAACTTCATGGATTATGGCCCCTGATTGTACGAAAAATCACGTTTTTAGCTTGTGGACACTCTAGAGGTCACTATTTTCATCTGATTTTGATGAAACATGAAATGCATGTTTATAACCTACAGATCTTGGTTCTTTTTTATATTTGCGCATATCGAATCGTAACTTCCTGAATTATGACTCCTGATTGTACGAAAAATCGCGTTTTTAGCTTGTGGTCCTTCTAGAGGTCACAATTATTATCTGATTTAGTAAACCGTTTGAATATATCACTGTTACACCGTAATGATGCTTCAGTTCAAATTTCGTGAAAATCGGACCAAAACTGCCAAACAAAATGTCCGTCTCTCGTACGCAAATAGTGTAAAAATATGCTATATCAAGGTTGTAGACCCTCTAAACGTCACAATTTTGATCCAATTTTGATGAAACTTGATCGCTTTTTGTTATAGCTAGTTATCTATCCATCACTGTTACACCGTAATGTTGGTTGGGTTCGAATTTCATGAAAATCGGACCAAACTGCCGGACATAATGGCCACCACTCGTACGCATATAGTGTAAACATATGGTATATTCAAGATCTATGGGTTATAAACATGTATTTCAAGTTTCATCAAAATTGGATCAAAATTGTGACCTCTAGAGGGTCCAGTAACTTGATATACCATATGTTTACACTATTTGCGTACGAGGGGTGGCCATTATGTCCGGCAGTTTGGTCCGATTTTCATGAAATTCGAACTCAACCATCATTAAGGTGTAACAGTGATATATTTGAACATTTTTTTTTTTTACATCGGATAATAATTGTGACCTCTAGAGAGACACAAGCTAAAAACGTGATTTTTCGTACAATCAAGGGCTATAATTCAGGAAGTTACGATCCGATATGCTCGAATATCGAAAGAAACCAAGATCTTTGGGTTATAAACATGCATTTCAAGTTTCATCAGTCAGATGAAAATTGTTACCTCTAGACTGTCCACAATTTATAAACGTGATTTTTCGTAGAATTAGGAGTTATAATCCATGAAGTTGTGCTCCGATACATGCCAATTTGGAAAGGAACCAAGATCGTTGGGAGATAGAACTATATTTCAAGTTTCCTCAAAATTGGATCAAAATTGTGACCTGTAGAGTGTCCACAAACAAATGTGAACAGACACACGGACGGAGACAATATACGTCTGTAGACATGAAAATGTGGGCGTATAAAAAAGCCAATCATCTGCTAATTACAGCCAGGTGATCTATTAAGGATTAGAAAGTCATGCACTGGTCGTACATGGTGGTCGTACTTTATTATCTAAGATTTAGAAACAGTCAGTAATATTCCTCAAGTACCAAATATGGAATGGAATGATATATGTCCTGACTGTCAGGTTTAGATTCCTGTGAGAATCTGTTGTGACAATAATATCCAACCTCATGGTCTGTTTATCTTGTATATAATAACCATTAGAGAACTGGAAATAGATTATTGATCAAAACTCAACTGACAGGATATAGTCGGGCTTTATATAATATGTACTGTCACTTGACTACCTCTTGTTTTCTTAATTAACAATATCTGCTTAAATTTGATGGATGATGTAAAGTTTGGGTGAAGAAGTAATGCTGTTGTGAGCTCATGAAATTTTATTGATATCTAAATAGTTTTATGGCATTTGATCATGCCTATGAATTTAAAGCATTAATTCTATGGGTGGAAATGATAAGCGCATTTCTCCCAGAAAAGGCAGTGCTTTAAAAATAGTAGAACCTAGAATTTCCATGGCTTGAAACTTTTAATTATTTTTTTAAAAAAATATGACAAGTTTAAACCTTTTCACAAATATTATTAGGTACAATGAATCGCTGTATTACCTGTATTACTTTAATCGACGTAGAACTTAATAATAAAAAAGTATGGCAATCACTCCAAAGCTACCATAAGCCATAAATTTTTTATCCATGCACAAACTGATAAATTCATAAACATAAAGTGTAACTATCTCACACAGCTCGATTTTTCATAGCACCATTTGTCAAGTTTAAGCCATAATAATGCCAATAATTTATTTCATTATCTATAATTCATTTTTGTAAAATTGAATTAAAGTGAGATTTATTAGCAATAGGCCTACATGTATTTGTGAAATATATTTCACATGATTTATAGTTGTTATTGATCTGATATATTGAAAGATTTCTGGTGCTCTTTCACATATTCTGAGAAAACCTGCTGGTATAGCAAGCTAAAAATATTTTAAACTAACAAACAAAAATGTTGCATTAAGGCACCCCTCCCTTGCCCATTATTTCGAAATTATGATCAAGAGTCCACCGTTATTTATTGCCAAGTGCAGTAAACAAATTGGTATTTTGTGACCTAAATCCAGATAGTCAATTGATAGTACCTTAGTGTGAATTTTAATTACAAAAGAGTCTTGTTCAGTACACATACAGTTGAATTATTGGATCCCATTCATGGTTTCATGAAGTATTCCCAGACAGTTTAATTGTTGATAATTACGGTAATTTACGCTGAATGACAGATTAGTTTAACATCAACATAGTTGATTTTATAAATCCATGCAACTTTAAAGATTTTTTGGTTGTATACAATGTTAGTCTGTAAATGTTTCATGAAGTTTAGGCCATTAGTGCAATAAAAGTATGAGTGATTTGAAGATTACTAGGATATCTATGAATTGATCTAAAACACCATCTTCATTAGCATTTCTACTACAATTCCCAATTACATACATATATTCTCTCCATTTGAGTAGCTATCAGACACCATATTAGAAGTGACTCAATGGAACTGAAAGGGTTAACACCAGTTTCTTCCACATAGTGTTACATTGTATATCTCAGACAATGAAATGACTGGTGTACATACAAATCCTATTGGTACTAAGCCCTCAGTCAGGGTCCAGTCACATGTAACATGGCTTAGGAATTTCTTGAAAAATGAATACTTTTACAAAAATATTTTCAACACAGGCTATATAGAGATTTTTTTGAGGCTTAATAGCTTCACATTAAGTATTGATGTGATTAATAAATTGCAGCACTTGCAGATATTTCAATTTGTTGTTAGGCTTTTTGTTTCGCACAGATTCCTGTCATATGCATATGTTCTACTAGACTCTAATTTTGGACCTAGAAGAATGGCTTTGACATTGAATTTATATATTTTTACTGCATGGTCTGTTTAAAACATCAAAAAAAGAAAAGCATAACTCTATTTGTTTTATTCAAGCCGTTCTCTTTTAAGTCTGTGTACCATACACAGATTTTAATGAAGTCATCCTATAGGATTGATTGTTGATTTACTAAATTGGGGTAATCTATCTAATCATGCGTTGTCCTTTGTTATCTATTGATTTAAGTGTCCTGTTCATATATTAACTGGCTGTGGCCCATTGATAGAACATAGATTAAACCTATGCTATAAGCCACCAATGAATATAAATAAACTCATTACAACTGACCTGTTATCTGACTACCTTAAGTTTTAAAAGATTATACTGAATCATGATTTCTTATTGTGATATACTGTAACATAGACAATAATATAGAATGAATGTTCTAAATAAAATTATAAAAGAATTAAGTCTGGGATTCTAAATCGGCTATTTGTTTCGTAATTCTTGTGTAAATGACTCTTAGTACGTCTTTTCATTTCAGATAAATCTTATTCTAGAAAGACCTCAAAGTTGATCTTTAGACTTAAAATGCTTAAATGTAAAATTTTCGTCTAATCAGCAAAAGAAAGTTTTTTCAGAATGTACATATCTATAAAGTGAGGATTTAATCCTGTATTATACTCGTAGATGGTTACTTCTGTGCTTGTCTGAATAATAGTCTCATTATTTTCTGTAAACACCCCTGAAGTTGCAAGGTATCTCAATAGCATGAGATAACTAATTCCATCTACAATAGATATGTTATCTGTTTTTTTTCAGTGCCTGTGGTATACAACATCTTCAGAGAGGAGGTAATCATCATTTTGGTGTATTTGAATCTATCTGGTTAGTAGTGGTAACCCTGTCAACAGTGGGTTATGGTGATGTTTATCCTGACATCTGGCCCAGTCAACTCTTCATGTTGTTTATGATCTGCTGTGCTTTGGTCATACTTCCCACACAGGTAAGATTAGTGATGTATGCGAGTCCCCAAAAATGGCAAAAAAACTGAAGTTGATTTTAAAAGGAAAAGGGGTTTACATTAAGATGTGACACATATATAATCCCAAAGACAAGAGATTTAATTCTTTTCTGGTTTTTTTTGGAAAGTAGGAATTAAAATGTGACTTCATATTCTTACGAGACTTTCCAAATTTGATTCCAGTCTCATGCAAGTTATCGCTGGTTTATACAAATCATTATAATCATTACAATCATTACAGTACATGTATGTCATATAAATTGTGATAGTAAAAGTTTTAAGAAAGTATTTCTTAAAAGAGGCAGTAGAAGTTTGAAAGATGATTGCCCATATATATTATGTATCTGTTAGCTAGTTCTGGAGTATGCGGCATATATATTGCTGCAAATTGTGTGATGTTGTTAGGTAAATTAACCATTGTTTTTTTTTCTCTAGAAAGTGAAGTAGTTTGCAGCTACAGGGTGACATAAATCAATCATGTATAAATTGAAAACATTTCATAAGAATCCTTCAAATCAATATACTGTATTATCCGTATTATTTTTCATTATAATAGAATAGTCTTCTATCATCTATTAGCTTTCGTGATCACAGTGGTTACAGGAACTTAACAAGCTGCTATGTCAATCTTTTGAGCCTGATTAATATTTACAATCATGAATGTCCTAGAATAAATCAAGCCTGAATAGAACTCAAATGGGCTAGGCAGACAGTCTTTATGGATGTCCCCACTTTTCTTGCCAGTTTTGCTGTAGCACATCTTATAATGTTTAAATAACATATAAATATAAATGGGGCCTTTACCAATTTTATCAAAACTTAGATTATGGTTTTGTTTCATTTATCTATTTTGATTTTTAGAGTGCATTGTTACTTACCAGCTTTCTATTATCATAATTATCTGTCAGGAAAGGTATTATTTGCATCAAACAATTTATTCCAAATGGTTTGAACACCAAGCCATTCAGAATCATTACCAATTGTGCTTTCATAATTTATCTCAATCCAATAAAGATAATTTGATTAGTAACAAAAAAAAAATTAATGTGATCTGAAGACCAGATGTAAATCTAGTACAACAAAAAATATAAAACAAAGAGAAATTAGCATCTGATTTTAATAAGTTTGTTTGCTGCTATAGCAAATCTAATAACATTGTTCAATTCAGATGCAAATGTGCTAAGGGAAAAATGTCTGTAAAAATGCTGTACAAGAGATGTAAAAATGTTTATGTCTTACAGATCTTCATATTGTCTTGACAAATATTTTTAAAAATTAAAATTTACCTCTCCTGCAGGAATGTGTTAAGCTTAGCATAAACATATTAATGACACACTCTAAGTGAACCCTTGTCTAAAATCTGTATGTATTCTTTAAATACCGGTACCTTAGTCAATAGCAGAGAAAATCTAATTCTTCAATATAAAATATAGCCATGGCACTTTTTTGATTTTAAAATAATAATCCATTATTGATTATTCATTAATTAATTTTGTTTAGTCTCAAGCTTTGCAAAACAACAAAGGAAGTCTTTTCAATGATTATTGATTTTACTGATGTAATTACACTTGGATAATGTTTTTGCAAATGTTTTTTTTTTTTTTTCAAAGTTTGTTTTTTCTCTGTTGCTTCTTTATGGTGTTCGACAAATAATTACTGACATTTAATTTCTAAGGCATTTAATGTTGACAGAATCCAATTGACAATTATTTAATCCTAAAAATAAAATTGTTGACTTCATTTTCTTATTAGTTTATAATTATGTTTCCATTCATGTTGAGTTTGGTTGAAAAAAAAAACGTCTTTATCAGCAACGCTATGTATTTTGTTGACAATGTCTGCAGGCTATCTGCTAGGTAGTTAATCAGATTGTTGGGGGGGGGGGGAATGAGTTAACTGATTAATACTTTAGCAAACAACATTTCTGATAATCAATTATTATCAGAAATTAGTCAAATAAATTGATAGGTTCCATCATGCAAACTTTGTACTCTTCAACAAATATGTTAAGTTAATGTGTTATAAGGAATTAAATTGAATAGACTTGCATGTACAATGTAAACTAAAATTATAGAAATAAAACATTTATTGATTCTTTGAGATCAAGTAAAGTACAGTAATCTTTTTTCCAACCCTGGAAGCATGAGTTGGTTTATAAGTGTTTGTATATTTTATAGATTACTTTAACAGTTAATAGTGTCAAGTTTCATTATTGTTTAAAATCTGAGAAAATAGATAAACATCAATTTACCAGAAATTCAAATATTTTATTTAATTATACTACATTGAGCAAATTATGCAATGCAGTTAATAGTTGTTCTATTATTAAAAGCACTAAAAAAAGAACTGAACAATCATATTTACAGAATAGATTGTTATTTGCCCACATTGAAATGTGTCGTATATTGTCTAGGGGCTAATAAAGTGATCATCTGATTTCCATGAAATTTATACAAAGTGTTTATGAATACACCTATTTATTTTCAATTATTTATTGTTCTTGATTGCTAAAGTTGTCATCTAAATAACAACAAAGAAGCCCAATGAGATTCTGTGACAAGGAGTAGTGTCGCCTTTCCAACCTCGTTGGTTTTCTCTGGGTCCTCCTTTTTTTTCCCCCCACTGCTAAGAACCCCTACGAATGGCGAATTATTGAAATAAAATTAAACCATATGTTAGTCCCGAAATGACCTGGTTTGTAATGACCTGGTTTGTGTGGAGTGGACCTTAAACTCCATTTCTCCCTCTCTCTCCCCATTGAGATTCTAACGCAGTCTTATATTTACCATCAGTTACATTTTTGTTGACGTTCTGGTTGCTGAAAACCCATACACACAAGCAAATTATTGAAATAAAATTAAACCATATGTTAGTCCAGAAATAATTTGGTTTGTGTGGAGTGGAGGTTAAACTCTCTCTCTCCATTGAGATTCTAACTCTAGGGACCGGGTATTATTCAGATTTGATGAAAAAAGGAAAGAAACTGAGCTTACCATCTATAATCTAATACACATATTCAGTTAATAGATTGCCAATCCATGCAGAAAGTTTAAAAATACCATCAAGATTCATCAAATAATGCCCAGTTTGTGCTACAGTTTAGTTTAAGAAACACCATTTAGTTTTGACATCGGCCATCTAGTTTATGACCATTTAGTTTAGTTTTGATATTGGTCATCCAGTTTATGACCATTTAGTTTGATAAACTAGACAACAGATGTCAAACTAAACGGTAGCACAAACTGGGCGGTTTTTGATGAATCTTGATGGTATTTAACACTTTCTGCATGGCAATCTATTAACTGAATATGTGTATTAGATTATAGATGGTAAGCTCAGTTTCTTTCCTTTTTTCATCAAATCTGAATGATACCCGGTCCCTAGTGTAATGAATTCTTATATTTATCATCAGTGACAATTTTATTGATGTTCTGGTTGCGGATCTGATTGATTTGAATTTCATATGTAAATGGGATGGAAAAGCCTATTAACCATCAACAATTTCCTATGAATCTCTTCAGAATTATTGCCCTTGGTCACTTTGATACCATGGTTATCTGATTATACATGAGAGCATAAAGACTACTGATTTTCAATGCTTTCGGATAACTGGAACGGCTAAAGTTATCAACTGGTTGTTGTGTTTTTGTTATCATTATGTCTTATAATTACTGGTAGTAATTTCATGGGTTGTTGCTTGATCAAAAAAGCAGGGGACTATTAAAATGGGTTCGTCCGTCTGTCTGTCTGTCCCACTTTTTGGAACACAATAATTCTCCTTCTAATTGAGCTAGAATATTTAAACTTGGTGTCTGTGTTGATTAGGTCTATGCTTTGATGGAATTTGAAGATAAGCATTTTCAGCTTAGGTAAGCAGAGATAGCAATTTGATTGGTTGATGCTTTAGGACACAAAAACTTTGGCCCGTATTTTCGAAAGTGGATTAGTGCTAATCATAGATTTAATCTCTGATTTTCTGACCAGCCATATTCTGAAAAGCTGATTAAATTTTAAGCTAAGATTTTTATAAACTTTGATTAGCCTTATCATTGGGTTAATCATTGTTTAAGAATACCATAAAATGTGGTATTCTGTAACGTTGACTTGTACTTAATCATTGACTAAATCACCCCAATATTTAGTCATCTCAGGGGGGTAGTTTAAGGAAGGATTAAGTGCAAGGATATGCAATTACAATGCATTGAATGTTATAGAAATGATTATTTTTCATTGAATTCAGACACATTGCACTTATATTTTGCAACGAAAGCAACAAATTCACATTCACCGTAAATTCTGTTAAAAAAGATTTTTGGAATATTAAACATTCTATATGATATAAAACATAAATAATTATGTATACTTTAGTCAAAATGAATAGACTACAAGATAAAAATAATTTTTAGAAATGTCAAAGAACCTTTTAACAAAAGAAACTGCAAAGAAAGGAGCACATCAACCTCTTAGCATAAAAGGGAACCGGCAGCAGCTAAGTCGTCCGGGCAGTCAACAAGGGTTGTCACATATTTCTTTCTTTGGTCCGTAATAAAAACATTTACGACTCTAAAATCTGAGTACGAGTAACAACCCACTAAGTAATTATCAGAAATCAATAGAATTTGTTTAGCTTTTAGTTCTGCCCTATACAAACTTTTACTATACAAACATTTAGTATCAAGGACCATAACTCTGGAAGTAACTATCGGAAAGAATCGACAATCAATAGGCATCCCCTTCTCATGAAGTTAAACCCCGTGTATAAATTTCAAATCGGTCGGATATTAACTTTAGAGTTTAGAGCATCCACAAGATTTTTCAAAGTGATCAAGGGCCATAACTATGGCAGTAATTATTGGAAATCGTTGGAAATCAATAGGCTTCCTCAACTCCTGACCTTAGACAATATGTATAAATGTAAAGTCAATTGGATACCAACTTTACTTCTAGAGCGTTGACAAGATTTTTCAAAGTGATCGAGGGCCTTAACGCTGACAGTAATTATCGGAAATTGTTGACAATCATTAGGATTCCTCATCTCGTAACCCTAAACACTGTGTATAAATCTAAAATCAATCGGATATTAACTTTAGCCTTTAGAGCGGCCAAAAGATTTTTCGAAGTGATCAAGGGCAATAACTCTGGTAGTAAGTATCGGAAATCAATAGGTCTCTTCGTCTCGTGGCCTTAAACACTGTGTATAAATTTAAAGTCAATCGGATATAACCTTTGGCCTATGGAGCGTCCACAAGATAATTCAAAGTGATCAAGGGCCATAACTCTGGAGGTAATTATCGGAAATCGTTGAAAATCAATAGGCTTTTTGTGTCTCATGGCCTTAAACACGGTTTATAAATTTCAAGCCCAGTATTGAATACATGAAGAACCAATAGAAATATTGAAGCATAGTATAGAAAGAAAAGTCAAACGTTTCTTTTGATTTAGCATAATCTTTGATTATTTTTTTTCCAGTGTGGCCACAATGGTCTTCTTTTTATCAATAACAAAGAATTTGTTACATTCTTAGTGTTAGCTGTTCAAACATTGTTTCCGATGTAAGAGCTGTAAGAAATGAAAGACAGTGGAGTTCTTTGAAGCTTGATAAATGTAACTCAACTATCACGTTTTTATACAATAATCAATGTTTCCAGAGAGAGAGAGAGAGAGAGCGAGAGAGAGAGAGAGGTTTAACATCCACTCGACACAGACTAGGTCATTTCGGGACTAACATGGTTTAATTTTATTTCAATAATTCGTTTGCGCGTAGGCGTATTTAGCAGTGGGAGGAACTCGGAAGACCTGGAGGAAACCCATGAGGTTTTACAGGTAACCCTACTCCTTGTCACGTACAACCGGGGATTCGAAACTACGCCAGTTGACTCAATGACAGTTTCTAAATGACATTTTATGTTTGGCACTCAGTTCAACAGTTGTATAAAAAAAATGCATCTTCTTGTGTCTCAATAGGTCAAGCAACTCGTAAAAATTTGGTATAAATAAATAATAATTATTTTGTAATCTTTCAAAATCTCCCATATCCAAAGAAAACCAGAAACCCACTACAATTTGGGAAAGTGTAGTATTACGAGAAGCCTAAAAGCGGATAAAAAAAAGAATACAGATATAGCAAGTTTATGCAAAATAGACAAATAGTGTTAATTTCGGATTTTAATACAAAAAAGGAGGCATAAAATTAATCTGTTCGTGCGCTTCTATTGGTCAGGAGAACAAATTTTAATTTAATTTAACTTTGATGTTAGCAACAGAAATTCATGTTACGATTACTAAACAGGGCAGGGGACAACGAAGAGTCGTTTGGATTGAATGACAAACCGAAATACCCTGTACACATTGGAGCGCACGTAAAATAACCCTTGGCATTTAGAATTTGGTTTAACTGTGAGCTGTAGTGCCGCTGTCTGGGCAAACGTGTCCTCATAGCACACTGTATGGCGTATGTCCGCCTCCCTTAGCCCAGTTGGGGCAGAACAGTAGGGACGTTAAACCTCCATTTCATTTCGAAGACTAAAAATATCCAAACTCTATTTCTGTCTCCCTTAGCCCAGACTGTCAGTTGAAGCAGGACAGTAGGCCGTTAAACCCCCATTTTATTTCATTTTATTTCGAATACTAAAAATATGCCAACTCTATTTTTTCTTGACCATCTTTTTCATACATTTTATTTCTTTCCTGTCCACCCATATGAACCCCTTTGACTTTGGGGACCCCCAAAATAATTTCACGGGCTCTAGGATTGGAAAAACTGTTCTAAAACATGTACTTTTCTAATCTACTTCCTATAATTGGGCCCCTTTATCAATGACAAAAGCCTTTTTAAACGTGAATTTTAATCATTGATTACAAAAAAATATAGTCAGAGATTAGCTAATCAGACTTTTGAGAATACCAAACTTAGTCAACCACTAATCTCTAACTAGCTAGTTACTGATTAAACCTAATCACAGGTTATTTTAGACACTGTTCGAAAATATGGGCCTTTAGTTCTAATTAAGTGAGAGTGATCAACCATGGTGTACAGTTTCATAACATCAATACCTTGACTAAGATCGATAGTGAACATTTTCTGCTCAGAGTAAGCAGAGCATTGAGCAATTTGATTGGCCGAGACTTTTGGAACACAATAACACTTCTTCTAATTGAGCAACAATATTCACACTTGGTGTAGCTTTTTATTAGGTGAATGCCTTGATGGAGTTTGAAGATGAGAATTTTCTGCTAAGGGTAAGCAGAGATAAGCAATTTAATTGGTTGATGCTTTGGGACACAATAACTTTAGTTCTAATTAAGTGGGAGTGATCAAACTTGGTGTATAGTTTCATCACATCAATACCTTGACTAAGTTCGATAATTAACATTTTCTGCTGAGGGTAAGCAGAGTGATAAGCAATTTGATTGGTTGAAACTTTGAAACACAATAACTGTCCTTCTAGTTGAGGTAGAATGTTCCAATTTGGTGTATGTGTTTATTAGGTGAAAGCCTTGATGGAGTTCGATGATCAACATTGTCTGCTTACGGTAAGCAGAGATAAGCAATCTGATTGATTGATGCTTTTAGGCATAATAACTTTGGTTATAATTAAGTGAGAGCTATGAAACTCTGAGTATAGATTCATTATATCATTACCTTGACTAAGTTTGATGAGAATTTTCTGCTTAGACTAAGGAGCGATAAGCAAAATGATGGGTCAAGACGTTGGAATATAACAACTCTTTTTTAATTGAGGTAGAATGTTTAAACTTGATGTTGATGTTCATATTAGGTGATTAACATTTCCCGCTAAAGCTAAGCAGAGCTAAGCAATTGCTTTGACTTTGATTCTATCTGATAGAGAGTGATGAAACTTAGTGTATAGTTGATAATCAGTTTAATTGCTAGATACTTTTGAAATAGACAGACATGCAATTAATTAAACATACATTATGCAAGAGCTAAATCTGCCTATTGCAGGTCTTTATTTAGGCCTGAAATATTTTCTAAATTATTTATTAGACATTGATTAACTTATCCAGGCCATTTTTAACTCTCGATGGCATCGGATTTCTCCGATGTTAAATAGATTAGAACTGTTCAGCCATATTTTGATTTAAGCTAAAAATGGAGCAGCGAGACTAAGCTTCGAACAACCAGTACGGTGGTTGAAATTATTGCACACATCTTGTCAAACCTTTAAAGGCTAATATCTTACTCACAATAGAGTAATTTGAATGAAATTTTCAAATTATTCATTTTACATGATCTATTTTTGAACTATTATAGCAAGAATGGCTAGCGCTTTATTTAAATCTTACATAATGTATCTTTAATGTGTCATCTATTTATTTCAGGATTTCTGCGGGGGACATCAACCTCACTGTTGGCTTGTTTTCTTTAATTGCTCTCACTACCTACAAAAGAATCAAATATGTCAATCTTTTGGGGCTTCTCGGATGACTTAGCTCGTGTTTATGTATGTTTTGCTGTTTGGCATCCCATCTTTAAATTTAAATGCAATATCTGAAATATGCTACATGTAAAATAAAAAGTTTGGAACTCATTATTCCCGTATCGCATATTGAGCAAATGTAAATGTCCAAGAAGACGCTTGTGGAATTTGTTTTTGTTGATATTTCAGTTTGAACAGTTAGCATGTACATGGCTAGAAAGACAGAAACTAGGTGGTACATACAGCAGTCATCGTGCTCAAACAGAGAAACATGTTATAGTTGTAACAACAACACTACAATCAGATACTATCATGGATTTCCTTAATGAGTTTTATGCACATCCAATGTTACAGGTACATTACAAATCTTAACAAAAAGTAGAACTTTATAGATAAAAAAAGTTATAAAAGGATATTTTTCAATTTTATATGGAGTTTTTCTTTGATTATATTGTTTTTCAATTTTATGTGAATTTTTTCTAGGATTATTTTGTGGTTTTGTTATCACCATGTGAATTAGATCCTACCATGAAGATGTTATTACAAGTACCGTTATGGGCTCAAAGAGTTATCTATGTTCAAGGTTCTGCTTTAAAAGATGCTGATTTAGCAAGATGCAGGTAAAATATTTTCAGTGTTATGACATGGAGTTGATGAAACAGTGTTTGCTTATTAACAGACTTCATTTTAATCGAAATGATATTAAGTGTTAGTACATCATGTTCTATGGCTATGGCAGTATATATTATCAACCACTGTAAAATTAGATAGTTTAAAAAGCAATTAATTAATTACATGTGTCTTGTAAAATGTAACATAGCAACAAGTAATTTCAATATTACTTTCATGACATGACAATTTTCATATACGTGTAGGAGCTTTTACGGGTTTCCCTTTTGATCTGGCCTTATTGTCCTCAGCCTTTCGAAGAAAGCAGGGGACTATTAAATAAATATAAAATGTGTCTATCTGTCACACTTTTTGGGACACATTTGTACTCCTTTTAATTGAGCTTAAATTTTCAAATTTGGTGTAGGTGTTTAGTAGGTGAATGCCTTGATGGAGATCGAGGATAAGCAGAGATAAGCAATTTTATTGGTTGATGCTTTAGGACACAATAACTTTAGTTCTAATTAAGTGAAAGTGATGAAACTTGGTGTATAGTTTCATTACATTAATACATTTGTTTTAAATAGGGCATTGAACAGACCATACGATGGCAGGCATCCACAAACATCTGTTGTCTTATTAAAACTGTTTGTAAAATTATACAAAATTACTGCGTGTAATAAATACAAATTGTCTTGTTAAAAAAACCAATAAAATGTTTATTTTAGCAACAGTCACGTTTATTGAGTTAGTTGATTGCTTGTTTCTACTTTTAATTAACAGTAAACAAGTTTGAAAAAATAACCAAGCTGTCGTTTAAATTGATATTTACATCTGTCCTCAGTTGCCATCCCAATGATTGGGACAAAATAAATCTGAAATTATCTGACTGACAGTTCATGATTAAATATGAAATCAAATGAAATGGGTTTTAACCTCCTACTTTCTGCACCAACCGGGCTAATGAATATGGGCATTTACCATGCAGTCTGCTACGGAGAAAATATTGCCCAGACAGGGGCGTTTCCAAATAGATTTCATTGATTTCCAACTGTCAAAGATTCTTTAACCTGCTAACCAAATTGTTTCATTGCATGATAAAGACTAGAGAAGCCTTGTTGAAGTGTCGCTCAGTAATACGCAGTAATAATGTTTAGTGTTAAACTCGCATACAGTCATTAATTTCATTTTTTGTGATTTGCCTTACTGTACTGTGATGCCCTTCCCCTTAGATTATATATTCATTTTTTATTGGTATTTTGCCTTTTTATACCATGGTGAAATGAGAAATTATGAATAAAAGATTCTCCTGAATCGACAAATATATGACGTATATGATTAGAATGCCATATACTGTCCATGATAAAACAACCTTTTTTTGATCTTACAAGTGACGAATTGGCGCGAATGTGAACCGTAACAGCATTTTCTTTTTTTCTAACAAAATGATGAATATGAATATCATGCACTTTGACCCTTATCAAAGTCAAAATTCCTCCCAGTAACAACTAAACTGGTATGGTAATGTTAGTTATAGTCCTGACATGCAGGTATGAAATATTAAATCACAAATAAATATTATTGTTTGACGGCTACAGACATAAAAAGAGAATGCAAATTTCAAAGCATTTTTCTCAAAACTTAAAATTCCCAGATTCGTTGATTCGTGAGAAACACGACGATATATCTGTTTCCTGGAAACACTATGTTTAGTTGTTATTTTATTAATAAATATTCTACTACTGTAGTATTTATAAATAAGCCAATAGAATAGTTTACGGTGATGTAATTCCAGGGCCCAGGATGCAGAGGCATGTTTCATTCTAGCTGCCAGAAACTATGCTGATAAAACAGCTGCTGTAAGTTTATATTATTATATAATTCAATTTGTTGGTTTTAAATGGATTTAATGTAGCCTACTTGCTTGAAATAGAACTGGTTTTATACATCTGTATATTGCATTTAGCTACTAATGATTAAAAACCTTTTTGCCCAATGTTACAATGATAATGTTATACAAGTTACCTTTGTTTATGCAGGGGTTCATAATTAAGTCTGAAAATAGCTCTTTTCAGTACATTTAAAAAATTTATGTAAGTCTAATAATGGGAGATAACTCTTTTACTACTCAAGTTATTAGATTGGCCACCATTAATTTCCACATTCACTTTAATGTTAATTCTGATCTCTTGGATTGGTTCAAATTTTCTGTTGGGCAAAACGCTTTCCAACAGACAGGCCAACAACTTGCACCATAGTTTGTATGAAGTTTTCCTTTCACATTTTCAAATACATAAATTTGAAGTGGCATACTATAAGTATCTTCCGTACATATCATCATAACAAACATGTAATATTGTTTGATCTTATATTCTAGGATCAACATACTATATTGCGATCATGGGCCATTAAAGATTTCTCACCAAAATGTCCTCTGTATGTTCAGATTTTCCGACCAGAGAATAAATTTCATGTAAAATTTGCAGGTAAGTAAATTTATCTCCAGATGAACTGTTTTATTTAAAATTTCATTTCTATCTGTATAACTGGTTCTACTTTACTGTACTTCCCATTGTTGGTGCAGAATAGACAGACATTAAACCCCATTTCATTTCATTTACTTCCCCATCTACATTTTCTCACTCCATGAAATAAACAATTAACTCTTAAATGACCCAAATGTATAACGTCATAAAAACCCACATCATAATGGTCAATAGTGTTAAAATTAGATATGCATTGTAAAGTCATATTAAAAACCAACTGTAGATGATAGACCCTTCATGTAAATGGATGAAATAATCTAAATTTAATGCCATTTTCATAAATATGAATTTTATACCAAAAATTAAATTAGTCAGTTCATGCAAAATTCATATATATAAATTAATATAATGGTTATTTCTATTTTTTTGTTCGGCTGTTGTGAACTAAAAATCTTTCATCATGAATCTCTTTTAATTTAGGCTTAGTTAACTTTTAAGTAATTTGTTGATTAAGCCTACTTCTAACGCAAAACAGGGGGTTGGCTGATTGAATGGTTAGTGTGTGCGCGCTGTATCATAAAGTCTGTCATTGAATCAACTGGCGTGGTTTCGATTCCCCGGTTGTATGTGACAAGGAGTAGGGTCGCATGTCCAACCTTGTGGGTTTTCTCCAGGTCCTCTGGTTTCCTCCCACTGCTAAAGACCCCTACGTGCAAGCGAATTATTGAAATAAAATTAACCCATATGTTAGTCCCAAAATGACCTAGTTTGTGGACGTTAAACCCCATTTCTCTCTCTCTCTCTCTAACGCAAAACTATAAAAATCTAAACCACCATCTGAATCACTGTCATTCAATAAGGATGGTAATCCGTTGTTAGGAGAACGTTGTCGTATACACCTAGACAAATCACTGTTTATTATAATTTTTCAAGAAGAAACACAAAGATTTTTAACTGTCAAAATGTCAAACAGGAAGTAAACAAAAGAGAAAAAGTTGTCTGTTTATAAGGGAAGTAACCCTCATTATGCTAGGAACGTTGCATTCGGTAACTGGTTTGTCGACAAAAGTCCCTGTGGGTACTTAACAGTAACATTATAGGTGTTGACGGAAGTCGCTGTGGGTCAGTTAAGAGTTATGTAAGTGTCTCTGCTATCTTTGGGAGTTGGGTGGACAAATGGTTAATGTGTGCTGTGTGCGGTAGATCAAAAGGTCTGTCATTGAGTAGTGGCGTGGTTTCCATTTCCCACTTGTACGTGACAAGGAGTAGGGTTGCCTGTCCAACCTCGTGGGTTTTCTCCAGATTCTCCAGTTTCCTTCCACTGCTAAAGACCCTACGCAAATTACTGAAATAAAATTAAACCATATGTTAGTCTCGAAAAGACCTGGTTTGTGTCGAGTGGATCTTATCTCTCTCTGCTATCTTTTCTTATGTTTCTTAGACATACTTGCATTGTTTCATCAACAAATTCTTCTATAGGCCTATTTGGTGAGCAGTTGTTTTCTCCTAAAAATGAGTTCATCCTTGATAGGTTCTCATCCTACTTTTATTGCCTGATACAATTATTATTTAACACTATACCTAACTTTGTATTTAGCCACATCACTACAAGTCATGATGGATGTCATGCACAGGACAGGGTATGATTAATTATTTTGAAATTCCCAATGTCACTGGGCTTAACTGTGTGAGAGAAGTGTCCTTGTTTGTACAAGTTTAAAAGAGCGGTAGACCTACAAAAGGGCCAAGAACTTGAACAACTTGTCTATTCCATTTAATGTTGAATATATCATCAGTGTTTGAACAAAAGCAGGGTTCTGTCTATTTTTTCCTGCTGTATTTTTTTCAAAATTTTGTGGCTGTATGAGGTTGCCTGCTAACTAAACAACCTAAATCCTTCTATTGTTGATTAAACGAGTTTTAACTATCCCAAATACTTACATGTAGGCTACATCATATTAAATAATGTTTCAAATGGGTTTCTATGGAGAACCAAGTCAATTTTGCAGCAGTGAGCTATGTTTTATTCAACTGATAATCAGAATGAAAAAAGCACATACTTTGCTCTGATATTTGCTTATAGGCTTGCTCAGCCCACCCTTGTAATGTACTATGATTCAAGTTTTTCTCTCCCCATTTCAAACTTTTAGTCAATAAAACTTCACAGCATCTTTTCACTAGACAGTTTTTCTTGCAAATGACACATAAACATGGAGACTAGCAGACGCCTATTTCATTGAGTTATGAGGGAGATAATTCTATTTGGTTTCTGAATAATATGCTTCTTTTGAATGAGTTCCTACATAGCCTATTATTCTACTGGCCTTCTGCCAATCTGTGTTCTTAAAGGGCATTAGTTTAATTTTATTGAATAATTATGACCTAGTGTTTGATTAGTTTTAACAATATCTGATAAAATTTCTATTTTATTATCTGTTGTGTTTGAAATATTACAAATATTTTTTTTTTATCAATATGAAATGTTTGTCAGTAGGCTATAGCCTACATGTAGAGATCTACTAAATGCCTCAAGATATTTCAAATTTGATCATATTAAGAAAGTAGAACAGTGAGAAAGGGACAATAATTGTTTAATAATGTTTCTGTCAATCTTCAGGTAACTGTAGCATTGGAATCCTCAGTCCCAAAATGACGTACTTTGTGTTGACTTGACATTAAACCTTGTTTCTCTTTACCCCTTGGAATTCTTTTCTTCCCCAATCCAATTACTGAGTCCAGCAACTTTTTGCAATGGAAAATTCCAATTGGTTAGTAGGTTTCTCAATGACAATTAAATGTAAATATCATGCATGTAAAAAAGATAGCTAAACTGTTTATATTTTCCGATCATGTGGTGTGTGAAGATGATTTTAAGTACGCCTATGCCCTACTATTTTGCTAATAACTGATTATATTTTCAGATCATATAGCGTGTGAAGATGAGTTTAAGTTGGCCTATGCCCTACTATTTTGCTAATAACTGATTATATTTTCAGATCATATAGCGTGTGAAGATGAGTTTAAGTTGGCCTATGCCCTACTATATAGCTAATAACTGTTTATGTTTTCAGATCATGTGGCGTGTGAAGATGAGTTTAAGTTTGCCTATGCCCTACTATATAGCTAATAACTGTTTATATTTTCAGATCATGTGGTGTGTGAAGATGAGTTTAAGTAGGCCTATGCCCTACTATATAGCTAATAACTGTTTATGTTTTCAGATCATGTGGTGTGTGAAGATGAGTTTAAGTATGCCTTACTAGCTAATAACTGTTTATGTCCTGGAACATCTACACTAGTAACTTTATTATTACATACGTCAAGAGGACAGTAAGTTACTTATTATTGCTCTCATTTCAAAGATTCAAATATGAAAAGAAATAAGTAATAGTTATATACCTTGTTTTCAAGGTGTATGGGTTGATACACTGTCTCTTTTTTGAGTAAATATGTAAATCATGATTTTGTTATTTTTGTCCCTTTTCAACTGATACACGGTCACTTTTCAATGAAAAGTGGCCGTGTATCGGTGTATACCCTTCCATTTTCATCAAAGAGTCGAGAAAAAGTATGGGTATAAACAATTTTGCCTGATTCTGAGACTATTAAATTTTGTTCCAGAAACAAATGCTCAGCTATCATTACTTATACAAATTGACAGTAAAAAATTTTCTAAAAACTATATTCCTGAAGAAATGATTACAAGCATTATAAGTTATCCATTGGTACACATACTAAAGTAACGTGGTGTTTCTGATTAGTTACTTCCTCATTTATGACTTAGATGTCTGTTAAATAATCAAGAACAGACATTGTCATGTAACAATGCCCTTGTTCCCTGCAAATCGTAGTACTACGCACCTCAAGATTTTAGGTTCAAAAAACGTAATCAGGAGGGATGTATTTGTAGGTTTTTTAGCAGTCTAGATCTGAAGTAAAAATATCAGAAGAATGTATCATCTATGAAAACAGCTGCCCTCGCTCGTTACCATTGCTTTTGGAATATGATATTAAGTAAATACAGGATGAAATACAATTCTAATATTATTTAATTATAGAGAAGGTCAAGCATCATCAGAAGAATGGCAGAAATTATATGGTCGTTGTTCTGGTAATGAGATATATCACATTAGACTTGGTGAAAGTAAATTCTTTGGAGAATATGCTGGCAAAAGTTTTACATATGCTTCATTTCACGCTCATAGAAAGTAAGTTAATTTCTTCTTCAGGGAAGATGACCTTATTATATACATTTTAGACATGTATAAAGATGACAACAATTAAGAGAGACATCCCAAATATTTTTATGCACCAACATTTTCATGTGGACGTATTAATGCCGTCGCCCCTGTCTGTCGGGACATCTGTCGACAATTTGTTTTATGGACCTTCTATACGGTTTTAAGTTTGTGGTCCCTCTAGAGGTCACAATTGTTATCCAATTTAAAAAACGTTCGAATATATCACCATTACACCGTAATTTTGGCTGAGTTCGAATATTGTGAAAATTGGACCTTCTATGGACCTTCTATGCGGTTTTAAGTTTGTGGTCCCTCTAGAGGTCACAATTGTTATCCAATTTAAAAAAACGTTCGCATATATCACTGTTACACCGTAATTTTGGTTGAGTTCGAATATTGTGAAAATTGGACCAAAACTGCCGGACAAAATGGCCGCCCCTCCTACACAAATAGTGTAAACATCTGGTATATCAAGGTTGTGGACCCTCTACAGGTCACAATTCTGATCCAATTTTGATGAAACTTGAAATGCACGTTTATAACGCAAAGATCTTAGTTCCTTTCGATATTCGCGCATATCGGATTGTAACTTCCTGAATTATGGCCCCTTGATTGTACAAAAAATCGTGTTTTTAGCTTGTGGTCCCTCTAGATGTCACAATTATTATCCGATTTTAAAAAACATGTGTATATATCACTGTTACACACTAAGATCTTGGTTCCTTTTGATAACCGCGCATATTCGAACGTAACTTCCTGGATTATGGCCCCTGATTGTTTGAAAAATCGCATTTTTAGCTTGCGGATTCTCTAGCGGTCACAGTTTTTTTTTCCAATGTTAAAAACCGTTGAAATATATCACCATTCCACCTTAATGAAGGTAGAATTCAAATTTTGGGAAAATTGAAATGAAACTGACCAATAAAATGGCTGCTATTTGTACACAAATTGTGTAAAAGTATGTAATACAAAGGTTGTGGACCCTCTGGAGGTCACAATTTTTATCCAATTTTAATGAAACTTAAAACATATCTTTATAGCCCAAAGATATTAGTCCCTTTTGATATTTTCGCATTTCAGGCCATAACTTTCTGGATTATGGCCCCTGATTTTACAAAAAAACGTGTTTGTATTAATCTTGTTCTCCATCCATCTCTTGCAAAATGTGGACGTATCCTGCCTGGCAGCCGCTGGTTGATTAATTAAACTGGTTAAAGTGCGAGAAGAACTGCCTTGTTTTGTTTTTCTGTTGTTAAAAAGATATTACATATTGTAATGATGATCACGGTTACAAAAACATTCAATTTGGCCTATGAAGATGGGCATACAGTGTAGTATGAGGGAAAATTTTGCCTGGACAGCGGCACTATGGCCAACTCTTATTTCGAATTCCAACTGTCAAGGGTTATTTTATGGGCACACCAATGTGAACAACTATGTTGTCCTCCATCCTGCATCACTGAAAGGGAGAACCATCCTGAAGAATTTTCTCAGCTAACACCAGGACTTCCCGCTTAGCGAGCCGATGCCTTACCCACTGAGCCACATCGGCCCCCAACACTTACTCCAGCTTTTATGTCATTGAATCAATGTAATTTTGTTACCTAGATATGGAGTAAGCCTTGTTGGAGTACAGAAAGATGTTCTAGGATCTACAATACAGTTAAACCCAGGTCCACGTCACATTATGAGGAATACAGATCTGTGTTTTTATATGAATCTAACCAAAGAAGAAAACTCGGCGTTTATTTTAGCTCATCCCAATCAAGAGAACAACAATAGTCAACCACGTTTGCCTCAGGGTACAGAACAAGCTTCTCGTGTTGCTAGTATGATAGCAAGTGTTGGTAAGTTGGAATTCAGTTTAGCCACCAATAAGTCCCATTTCATTACCTCAGGGTACATAACAAGCTTCTTAAGTTGCCAGTATGATAGCAAGTATTGGTAAATTAGGATTTATTTTAGCCACCAATAAATCACATTCCATTACCTCTGTAAATCCTAGGAATTTTAAGGGTTTAGGATTGGATAGGAATACTAAATTCTAACCTATAAATTTTAACATTAACAATAGTGAATTTAGAATAATGTCTATTTATAAGAGATTCACAGATTGTCAGATGTGACCCTATATGGATGTTTGATGTCATTTTTATATTTTTAATGATTGCTTATAGGAACAGTTGCCTTAGAGCTACAGCATACCAGAATGATGGGAGGTGATGGTGGTGTTGGCAGACAGGGAAGTAAACGAGCACATCTTAATTTGCCAAAAGGTTTAAATATACAGAGCTTACAGAAGAGACCAAGTATAGCACCTGTTCCTGCTGTTCTTGAATCTAATGATGTACAGATTAATGTTTTTCCAGAATCTGAGTCTGAAAGTGATGATGATGACAGTTCAACAGAGAGTGTAGATAGTTCAAATCCAGAGTTAGTCAAATTTAAATCTTTTTGCACAAAAATTAGGCTCTACAACTGAAATCTTAGTTGAATGTAGTTAAAGTTGTAAGATAAAATCGATACAAAATTTACGAAAAAGTTAATACAAAATCTACATTGTCTCAGTTTTTCAAATATCTACCATAACATTGATGTTGAGCAAAATCCTTCATCACATCTTATGACATCCTCTCCCAAAATAAAAATGATGGGAAACAAATAATGTTTTCATGATTTAGAAACATCAGAGCATCTCATCATTTAGTGGAAAATCAGTTTGGTGTCTTATTTTTAGGAAATTTAGCTTTCTTTAAGAAGTTGTAGCTTATGGGTATGAATATTTATTATTTTCAGCTATGTTCGAGGGTTTCCACCTGTAACTCCATATGTTGGTACGAGTCCCACACTTTGTCATCTGTCTCGTGAAAAAAGATATTTATGTTGTTTGGAACTATGCCAGGTAGGTAGATGGGGCATGCAAGGGTTCTACGGGGAAAAATTGTCAGACAGAGTTTTATTAATAGTGTAATGTCTACCAGTATTGTACAGTTAGTTTTATTAACTGAATGAGAATTACTATTAGTTAAATCTGATCAAAATTAAATCTTTCTTTCATCTTACTACTCCTTTATCAGTTCTTTGTTCTGTTATAAATCTGAATATAAGCAGTTGTGATTGGTTATAACAATGCAAATCATTTTTCCACTTCCTAGATGAGGGCACAGTTTTAATGAATACTAACAGAGTAATTGTTAGAATTTAACACTTCCCACTGTACTAGCTTTTGGGCTAAAAGCAAAACTTTGCTCTCTATTAAATGTACAGGCATTTCTTCTCTAATCTTTTTAATTTGTTTTCAGACATGTAGTCATTGTTCCTTTATAAGTGCCAAAGATTATGAGTGGGATAATCGTATTATTATAGTTGCTGCTGATTATGCTAGTAATGGTTTATATAATTTTATAGTTCCATTACGATCTCATGCTCGAGAAGCTAATTCTCTTAATCCTATAGTTCTGCTGTTTGAACAGAGGTAATTTGTTTTATTTTTTGATTTTTGGATAGATTTACTTAATCTTTGGATATTAACTCTTAATGGCATTTTAATGTGTTCAAAATAGAGAATCATAGAAATACCGTACAGTTCATGATAATAGTCTTAAATTGATGAAAGTATTGTATCAATAGACAAAGATGCATGTCAAGTATTTGAGTTTTTTTACATGTTTCTTCCTCCGCCTTTCGAAGAAAGCAGGGAATTTTTAACACGGGTTTGTTCATAATTGGTGTAGTTGTTCATTTGATGAATGTCTTGACTGAGTTAGATATGGGCATTTCCACTGAGGTTAAGCAGTGATAAGTAGTTCGGTTACTTTTATAAAAAGATAAAAATATGCATGTAATTAATGTGTGCCATTTATTTATTTTTAAAAATTATATTTCAGTCCTGATTTGGGATTTTTAGACACTATTTGTTATTTTCCTATGATATACTGGATGGTTGGTTCAATAGATTGGTAAATATTATTTATAGATAAATAATGCTTTTCGAAAGTTATCATACATTATACTTATGTTTCCAGCCAGGCAAGTAGACTTTCATTGACAATTGGAAGCTTCCATTTACAGCTTATCGTCAAATACATATTGTTAGTTTCACAGGAAAAACATCCATATGGCTGGCTTTTGTTGATGTCAGTTGTAGGACGTTAAATATCATCTTAAAACTTAATATTTTTTTTTTGAATAAATGAAAATCTCAAAATCTTTACCTTAACTGTTATGCTAAGTGTTGATTTAAATTTAGCTTGTTTTTTATTGTAGTTTATCTGATTTATTAAGAGCTGGTATAAATTTAGCTGACAATGTGGTTGTGGTAAATAAAGAAAGTTCTAATTCTGTAGAAGAAGACACATTATCAGATTGTAATACTATTGTTTCTGTACAAACTATCTTCAGGTTGGTATCTTTTTCTTTTTTAAAATTCAACTGACGGCTGTCATTGTATTACCTGTAACATGCAGAGACATTTGAGTGGCTGAACATCCAAATGTACCCTACTGTGTTTCTCTTCATAGGATTGTCACCTATGCAAGCATGTTTGTAATAGACAAAGAATGAATGGTCTTCTCTAATATTAACCATGTTAATCTAGAAATAACCTATAATTTTAAAGATGGCCATTGTCACTTCTCTTCCACAATCTGTATTTTTTTGTACAAATGATATTTGTATGAAGTTCTTGTTCGGCATAAAATGAATCCTACTTTACAAATAAATCACCAAATTATGTTCTGAAAAATCATCTAATACAGTAAAAAAAATATTGCATTTCAGATTATTTCCTACAGCTAATATAATTACAGAACTTACTCAGTCTTCAAACATGCGTTTCATGCAGTTCCGTGCCAATGATATTGTAGCATTAGCTATTTCTAAACTAGAAAAGGTAAGGCAATTCACAATAGAATAATTCTCAGTAGTCCATAATGATACACTTGCTTGACAATCCTTTGTGTTACCTTGAATTTCAATAGTATTGTTGTTACCATTAACTCATAGATACAAATTAAGAATAATTTTGTCAGATCTAATGCTTTAGATCGTAAGGTAGTCAATTGATTTAGTTTTAATTGTGCTTTTGATCCTTCATGTGACAAAGGGTAGGGTTCCAGATACTTCATACAGTTACCTTCAAATTCATAAGGCCACAGCTCTCAACTGAATTATAGAAATAAAAATATAGTGTGAGTCCCAAAATGACTTGGTTAGTGATGAGCAGATGTTAACATTGAGCATGATAGGTTGGTGTAAAATGCAGTTGGGAATCATTTACACATTTATTTACATTGAGCAATAACATGATGTATATTTTTTATCTAGTGTTGTCTACCTGAAGAAAATATTACGTGTATATATGTTAAATTTATATTCTTTCTGTTTAAGCACAGCAAGATACATAATTTAAATGAAATAGTTTATTGTATTTTGAATTTTCTCTTACAGAAAGAGAGACAACGAGGATCACATATTTACTATATGTTCCGACTTCCATTTGCTGCTGGCAATGTTTTTAGTGCTAGTATGCTGGACACACTTCTTTATCAGGTCAGTCTCATATTATTGTAGTGTGATATATAGTTATTAAGATTAGTCTGGAAATAAAATGATGTAGAATTCAGAGCAAATTGGTTGGGATCAAAATCTGTGTTCACAGGATTAGATTCCAAGTATACATTATTTCATTAGTATTCATTTCAAAAAAATAGTAAACGAAATGTAAATCTGATGTAAAATATGTTGCAAATACTTATAAATATAGCCCATTATCAAATTATTACTGTCCCCTGCCTTTCAAAGAAAGCAGGGGACTATTAAAACATGTCTGTCTGTCTGTCACACTTTTTGCGACACATTAATAACTGTCCTTCTAATTGAGCTAGAATGTTCAAACTTGGTGTAGGTGTTTATTATGTCTTAATGGAGTTTGATGATGAACATCGTCTGCTTATGGAAAGCAGAGATAAGCAATTTGATTGGTTGATGCTTTTGGGCACGATAACTTTGGTTTTAATTAAGTGAGAGTGATGAAACTCCGAGTATAGATTCATTATATCATTACCTTGACTAAGATTGATGAGAATTTTCTGCTTAGGCAAAGGATCGATAAGCAATTTGATTGGTCAAGACGTTGGAATATAACAACTCTGCTTTTAATTGAGGTAGAATGTTTAACCTTGAAGTTGATGTTCATTAGGTGAATGTATTGACTGAGTTCAATGATTAACATTTCCCACTAAAGCTAAGCAGAGCCAAGCAATTTCTTTGACTTTGATTCTATCTGATAGAGAGTGATGAAACTTAGTGTATAGTTGATAATCAGTATCATTGCTTGATACTTTTGAGAAAGATAAACATTCAATTAATTAATGTGTCATCAATTTATTTCGGGATTTTGGCGGGGGGACATAAGCTGTGTATGTATTATATAGTTACCAGTGTAAATGGCCTTATATAAACTCTTGTGATTTCTTTGTTTGTGTAGGCTTTTGTAAAAGATTATTTAATAACATTTGTAAGATTATTGCTGGGAATAGATCAAGCTGTAGGATCAGGACATCTTTCTTGTGTAAGTATATTTCACTAAAAACATTCCAGTCAGCTAAACTCTATAACCATTGAGCCCGGGACACTACAGAGGTGCAAGAAAATGCTTTAGTTAAAATTTGCAATATTCAATAAATTTTGGAGTATATCCTTTGTAAAATTTAATGTATACTTATATTCAGTGTAATCAATTTTTGACATCTTTTGCATTATTCCAACTGTATATTTTATTTTATTTTGATGTGTTTATACACATATAAACTATAAAGTAAACTGTATTTATTGTGTTTTATGGGTAATTTCATGGCACATAGATTTAGGGACTTGTAAGTTCACCAACCGGTCAATTTCACTGCCAGCTAGTCAAGCCGCTGACAAATACATACATTGGTGAAACCATTGACGGATTTAGGACAAATGATGCCCTATGCTAGTTAGATTGAGGCCCCGTATATAGGTCCTGAAGGCGGTAGGCACGGATTGCCTACACAGATAGTCTGGCATACATGCTCAGAAAAGTTTTTGGAAGGAAGATGGCCCCTCTCGAACCAACACACAGGGCCCTGTGCTTAAGCACAACAATACACAGTGGTGAATCTGGCACTGGATGAAACACCTTGTCTTCAATAAATTCATGTTGTATAACAATTATTTATTTTAGATGAAAATAACAAAAGAAGATTTATGGATTCGTACATATGGTAGATTATATCAAAAATTATGTTCTACAACTTGTGAGGTACCAATTGGTATTTATAGAACACAATTACAATCTTGTCCAGAATTATCCTCGGTATGTACATATAATTTATTTTTTTAAATTAATATTATTAAATTTAATAATCTTTGAAAAGGTAGTTTTCTGATTCTGTCATTAAATAGAATATCTCTACATTCTCATATTATCTTAGATTAGATATCATTTAGAAATTTCTGAAAATCCAGCACATGGATACTTCAAAGCAAGAAATTATTGCTAATTTTCTGCGGCACATTTATTTGATACTGCTTTACAGTATACCTGGTACATGCATATAGGGTAACCCCCTTAATCCATGTTGGTTAGATGATTATTAACAATGATTCTAACAAAACTAATTAGATATTCTCACAGTTACTGTTATACCTTGGCGGCATTAGTAACCTTTTCTTGTACATCAGCATGCTAAGATCACTCTTGTCAGTGTAACAATAACTATTATCATCTACATTAAAAACATATTTTCATCTGCATTAATATTCTTAAATATGTTAATTCTTTGACAATATATACTTTACCCCATTCTATGGAAAATGATGTTATTGTAGTCAAGATATCAGATTTGGTTGAAATTGTTTATTATGTTTGACATGATATCCCTAAAAAACTTGTCAGATTTATATGTATACCAAGTGGAGGCCATCAAAGCTGTAAAGAAATGGAACAAAATTTAGATCTGCATTTTAATCACATGGAGGACTTCCTAAATAAATTGAGGAAATTTTTCAAAATTACTTTTATTTATGAAACATGTAGGCCTACTTATGTTTTGTTTATTTTTGTTGATTTTTATATAATAAATATTTGTAGAAGGATATTTATTTGTTATTAGTGCTTTTATTAATTATGTATTAATACAGTATTGCCATAGAATTGTATTGCCATAGAATTGTTATTTGTTCATTTCCTATAATTTGTAGAAAAAAACTAACCATAAGTTAACTACAGTGAGTATAAGGTTGAGGTTGAAGTCCATGCCTTTTGACCCTTGATCAGTTTTTACCTCCCCTCCACAGTTTTGCCCTTATTTATCACCTTTCACAAAAACTAACCATTGCCTTTTCTTGACCGTTGTCAACCACATAATTAATATAGACCACTTTCACTCGATCTCGCATCAATCTTGATTGTTTTACAGTGAAACTAACGAAGAAAACTAATTATTCTTGTAACAGCTAGACTGGGGTTCTTATTTCAAAATATTGTCAGCCATATTTAATAACATTGGCATATATTTCATTGCATGTTCATTGAATGACAGATGATTTAAAATTTGTCAGTCGCTCTATTCTTTCTTCCTACTTACACCTAATAGATTTTTTTAGGGTGAAATCTCCATATTTTTATACCTCATCTCTTTTTTCTGCTGTTAGTGCCCATCACACACCTAGTCAGTCAAGACTGGTAATTTATTATGTATTGTGTGTAATTATAAAAAATACTGTTTAAATCAAATCTGGTAAATATAATGTGAATAAGAACCCTAGGCTAGATTTCTAGACCATCTTTAGTCTGGATCTGCTTAATAAACTTTAAAATACTGGGTGCTAGAAATATTTGGTGAGGGAATGTTTCAATGAAACATGTATATATACCACTCTGCATATTAAATTGGCTGTATGTGTGTTTAATTAAAGAATGATATAGTTGGAGTATGCTGAAAGCTTCACTTGTGCTCTTCACTACAAATCACATTTAATTTCTTTTCTTGAAAGTGCAAAGCAAGCTATATATACTTACTTTGATGATTATTCTATGTATCAGATATAGGAAGAACTGGGCATTATACAGTTAAGAAGTTTAGAAGTGTTGTAAATATTTTATTTGTTAACAGATTTATTTTTGTAGATTTAACACTATACCAGTCATTTCATTTTTGGTCACGCTATATTTTATGTCTAATATAAATAAACAATAGTTCACATTTTCGTTTTTGAGACTCAACATTTCATTTCTTAAAAACTGAAAATAAAAATGAATGATGGTACAATGGACTAAAATACCCAAACCCCACCAATTCCTTACACAGAGGTAGTTACCTTTATAACCCAAACTACATTGTATGCTTAGTAATACTTACTAATTACATGTATTATGTATCATGTAAACCTAGACTACATCCCTACCATCCAGAGACCAATCAGCATTGAATGTAGCTTTTAGAAACTCGTTTGTAAGTATTTAGAGAAGTGTGTCTCATCTTAGGTCACTTTCAGTCAACAACCACTCCATTTTATTAGGAACTTTTTTAATATTCAAGGATAAGTAATTTAATGAATAAATGCAATCATTTATGAAAAATCCAATAAAGGTATGTTTGCAATTTCTGTTTTACTGATAGATATTTGACAAGGGGTTATCGCAATATTACAATATTTCTACTTTGGTTTTGATATTTCAAATATTTGGATATCATTTGTATTCAATATAAGATGCTGTAATATTTGGCAATATATATCCCTTTTGACTAGTTCGGGGGTCAAATGTAGAAGACTTTAATAGAACCATATAGGGAGTTGTTGTCTGAAAATTGATTTATACTATACACAAATATCAATATATCTTTCTTCAAATCTCAAAATAGTTGATCAAGCTTTTCCATGTCTTGTGAGTTTTCTACTGTAACTTTCTGACCACTGCACATAAAACTGTGCACAGAATCTGATTTCAAATCATTGTAGTCTTTGTCTCTGTTCTGAGGAAAGTTTCCGATATTTTGTTGCTTTTCTTTACATAAACATACATCTTTAAGGGAAGTCTCTTTCAAGACATAATTGACACTGTATATCACAGCTTTCATCATAACCCATGACATGTTTGCATTGAAAGTTTTGTGAAAATGAAAGAACCACATATGGAGATGTCAATAAACTTTAGATTTTGATTTTCCCAAAATAAGTTCTATTCATAATTCTTAAGAGATTAAGCAAATTTGAGCTCTAAATAATGCTTTAAACTACGCTAAAGTAAACCAAAGCCAATGTCAAAGATAAAATAATTGACTGTCATTAAAGTTTTTTTAAATTCTTTTATGGGGGTCACTGGGTCACCACCTACTTTATGGGGCAAGCAGCAAATGTTGCTTTAAACTTGTGACCAATCATTCACTATAATAAACCATTCTTACTTTAAAATTTTGCTTGCATCATGAGTTCAGGTATTTCAGTAAAAGAACACTTAATTATATAAAGGCATGAACATTTTGAACAATACCGCTCCTTAAAAGGGTTAATGTTAATTGAAAAAATGGTCTGACATCTATCTGTATTAATTAAAGAAATGAGTGTTTGGCATCAGATCAACTCTATATTGAACTAGTTATTATAGTGATCATAAAGACATTATTAACTGTTTTTAGCACCACACACCTATACATTAACAGCTTACAACATGCCTTTTTTCTCTCTCTTTTTGTAGTGATCATATTGTTAAATGTTAAATGACAAGCCCTTCTTGATTTAATTTAGAAATTCATGTGTCCATTTAATTGTATCTGATGTATTTATTTATTTACTTGAAGAACAGGTTAAGCCTGTTTAAATAAAACAAGATGTTAAAAGTATAATACTGTTGCTGAAGTTCATTATATAGATGTTTGATCATTGAGAGAAATAGCACATCAGATTCAAACAGATGTTTTTCAAGCAGGTCTTGTCTGTTTATCTGCACTTTATACTTCGATAGATTAGTGGGCACAGTTCTCGTGGTCAAAAAAATGTGTACCTAATACCTAGCACGTATGGAAGAGGCGATAAACTGCGGTTGCAGGAACGCATTTTTAGCCCCATAAAACATTTTTTGCCCAAAAATCAAATTCTTGCAACCACAGTTTATTGCCTCTTCCACATGTTCTAGGTATTAGTATTCTACGCATCCTGGCAAAAAATTAAATTTTTTAGAACATGGGAACAGTGCCTGCTAATCTATCCTAGTTGGGGGCGTGGCATTTTGGGCCATGTCTGTTAGGGGTAACCCACCGCACAAACTGTATAGCAGTGGTCATTCATGATGATTCCTGTGGTGGTACTGAACAACTCCAGATTTCAGCTAATCTAGCCTAGCTGTGGTCTGGAAATTAGATAACTCTTTTCAGGGATACTCCCCCACTGCAAATGTCTGGCAATTACATAGCTCTGTCAGGGATTCCCCCTTACTAGAGATGTCTGTCAGAGTGTTTTTGTAATACCAGAAGATGTACGGTGCACTGCTGTACGATTTGCATGTGGTACACTTTGAGCTAATCCAGCCTAGTTGGGGGCATGGCACACCCACATCCACCACCAGATACCTGGCAGACTTACATTCTGATGATACTAAATATGCATGCATTGATACCATATAGGAGAAAATTGGTACATTTTCAGCTAGGTTGACCCCCTGGGCTCCTGGTCTAATCCTTTTTTCTTTTCATGATTTGAATTCATAACTGAATATTTTAATTTGCATTGTGTTATTTATTCTCTATTCTTATCTAAGAAACAGTATATTACTTGGAACATATACTCTTCAAAAAAAGTAGGGGATATTCAGAAACAATACAAAACTGTGGAAATGCACTGCTGTTTTTATTAGAGGTAACCAGTGTATGTTAATAACAGGCCAATTGCCTACACATGAACATAAACAGTTCATATGGGCAGCTTGTCTGACGGGCCCATTTCACTTGCAAAGAAATACCCTGTCAAAATTGAAAATGAACGTTTTTGATTTTTGTCTTAATAATGAGTAATTGCTCCACGAATCCTCAGACATTCAGCAATTCATCATGGCATGCTCCTAATCAACCGTCCAATCGCAATTTGGGGCAATCTGACCCATTTCTCTTTCAGTGTTGTTGGTTGACGGCGACGAACACAGACTGTGACACATTAAGCATGTTGGCTACTGCTCTCTGTGTAGAACCCATTTGAAGCATGCCAATAGCACGTAAACATTCATCATTGCAAATTAAACGTAACCTACTAAAGCAAAGATACGCTAAACAGTAAATCTTATGCAAGAACCGATAGGAAAGCAAACATGGATAGGATAAACCAGCGCTCGGCAGTTTTCATCAACCCTTCCTTGAAGTGTCAAATTTGACAATGAACCCCTCCCACATGTATGGTGCTATTGTGTGTCGCGCGTGCAGCTCAGTGGTTCTGTTGGGGTGATAAGTTCTTCATCTGTAAACATACTCTCAAAGCATGTCAAGTGTCCATATTTATCATATCACAACCTGCATAGGTATCTGCATTTCAATATCCCCTACTTTTTTTTTGAAGAGTGTGTGTGGGACATAATGAAAAAAAAATATTATGAAAATTAAATAGATTTTGTATAAAATGGAAAACAATCAAAATGAATTGCCTAAAACTAAATTATTATCAACTTTGAATTTGTAAATTATTACATGTATCTGTTGCGCCATTAGCATTCTTAGAAGATAATAATTAGCCTCTCGAATTTAAAAAGTTATTTATACAGACCCATCTTACTCCATAATCTCATTAACATTTTATTCTGGATTATTTATATACAGATGTATACAAAAATATTATTATTACTTACTCATAAGTTATGTATTATTAATATACCAGGCCTCGTTACATCTCGGTGAATCAGAAGATATGTGTAATGGTGTCAATAATTTAACACCAGAAAGACAAGAAATAATACAAATGGTCAAATGTAGAATGCAAAGTCAAGGACTTCCATTAGAAGAATATGGTATGTTGTTTTGTTGTTTGGTTTATTTTAAATTTAATTTTACATTTTACAACCAGTAATCCTTACTTCACTTTAGCCATAGGTTGTATGATTCATAAGGGGAAAAAACGCTTTAAAATCCTGATAAGAACTTTCTAAATCAACACAAGGAGCAATCTTGAGACCTCCTGGTTAGCCTGCATCTTAAATTACTCACTGAATCACCTCTGCTCCAGTTTGGGTTGGATCATAACAACGGCTGTCTGTTGTTATTCTTATTCTGTATTTACCAAGCATTACAAATCAACCATTGGTCTGTCTGCACCACCTCTGGTGACCCAAATCAAGTATGAGGTATAACTTCAGTATTATCTAAACCTTATATTTCTGTTTAATAATCTTTACAATGATAGTAATCAATATTTGTCTTTTTCAGATGAATCAAGTGATAAAAGAACATCAGTATCATATGCTATCATCAATCCAAATTATGACCTAAAATTAGAACTAGGTGATATTGTGTAAGTAGATCTTTAAAGCACCAGTGCTGTACCCAATTATTCCACTATTCTTTTTATTAAGCCAGAATCAGGGACTTAAAATGTGGAAATTAGGCCTGAAATATAATCTGGACAGGCTACAATCAGGAGCAGGTTCATATAATCAGATGCAGAATTGACATTTGTAATTAACGTACATGTATATTCACATGGCTTTGTAATAATATACTTCATAGTATCTATGGTAGCTCAAAATTCACCAGTAAGCCTAAATGTTTTCTCTTTGGTCTTGTTCACAGTATTGTGATTTGTAATCCATGTGGTGGAGACAGTCGTATCTTTTTAGAAAAATAAAATAATAGTATGTCTATATTTATAGGGCTCCCGGAGTAAACTACAGTATAATGATCGCTTATAGATACCTTCCTGTGTACAAACTGAGTGATTTGATGATATATTTGGGCTAAAAAATTAAAAAATATTAAAACTCATTAATCTATAAAAAATTTGCTTCAAATCCCTCTCAAAACATTGTATTTGTGAGGAAAAGCTCTTGGTTCTCAAACTCTGGGTCATGACCCCAGCTGGAGTTGCCAAACACTTTAAAAATCTCTGATCTTTCCACCTCTTGCCACAATGCCAATTGTTTTTGCTCAATTTTTACAAACAATAACTTGTCAAATAAGTAATACAATAATAAATGTAAATAATGGTGATGTTTCATAGTAAAAGGTGACTTTTTTTTGTGGGGTCGCTGTCACATGCTGGTTTCTGGAATGGGGTCGCAACCAACAAAATATTGGGTACCACTCATCTAAGCACATAGTATCTTCTCAAGCTATTACACCCATGTTAGTAAGTGTAAGAAACAATACAGGAAAAACATAGCAGGTTTACTACCATCCAATCTGGACATTAATGTGACTGGAAAAAGGCTGCATTTAACACATTTGTTTCTTATTTTCATATTATTTTTCAAATGATCTTTGTTTTAAGGTACTTAATCCGACCGAGTTCACTGTCACCACAGCCATCACCTTTAATGGATGAGCGAAGATTGTTGAAAGAACAAGAAACAATAGAGGAAAAACGTAGCAAGTTTGCCACCAGCATATCAGATCATTCATTACATAACGGTAGAACACCGTCGGAACCTTCAGAAAGCCAAGATAATCTGAACAAATCTACAGGTGGCAGCAGGGTATGCTATATTTATTATAATCTTCAATAGAGATTCACTTCAAGGTGTATATTTGATTTTTGTAAAAACATTGACTGTTTGTGTAGTCTTTTAGCAATAACTTAACTAGTTATCTGATGAAATCAACCAATTTTATGCTTAATCATATGCCAAAATTTTGTCGTCACCTCTGTGATTTCTTGTGAACACTCTACAAACTATCGGTAGTTTGATCATCATATCTTTATGTTTACATTTCTAATAATAGCTTCCCGATTTATTACCAATAACAAAAGTGACCATCTGATCTGTTTGAAATTTATATACATTAGTTAAAGGAGCTAAATCGCTAATATTTTGGACCTAGAAATTGACACAAATGGGTTGCAACACACATAATAATGTAACATGAATGTATATAAACTGATTTACATTCAAACGTTTCTGTTTATATTGTAATTGTAATCAGTTATGTTCGGGGAAATACGCCAGAAGTCTCAATCAAATGGCAATCTCTAGCGTCTGGTTATTCCAGTCTACACCAATAATATTTATTGCGCATGCTCTGAAGATAAGAATATGTCGTCACCGTTTGACATGACTTGTGGAATATGCCTAGCCTCGTTCTTCGAGTCTGTTGTTACAAATGGCACTGAAACACATTATGGTACACAATTCATGTACCAATGGTAAAATGTTTATTTTGTCTTAAATATTGGATATCAGAAGCCCATCTTTTCCCGGTAAGATCACAACATCACTGTTGTTTTAATTTGACAAATAATACGGGTTTTCAATTCCGAAGACTTTGGGTGATATTGAGTTAGAGACTTAGCTACTTTAAATTAGTGACATACCGACGCCTATTGACTTCCAGCAAATTCTGCAAATTAATTCAGATGAGGTGGCCCTTTGTTAACTTTGAAGAATATTGTTATAGTTGTTGCCCTTAATTATGTCATAGCTGTGGGTGTGTGTTCTTGTTTGGCAACCTATCTTTGAAAAAGTGTGCTTGCATTTGACAACCATGCATATTTAGGCATAACTGATGAAATTACTGAAACCTTATTGGTCGACTGTTTCCTTGTGATAAATGCACTAATTATCACCCGCTGGCATTGATTTCTCTCAGAAGTGAAGGACATAAATTCCATGCATTTGCTTATCTTCTTTTTTAATTTGTTATTTTCTAATTGTTATCTTTAGATACCAGTGATCTATTATAACAGTGATGATGAAGATAATGAAATCTGTGGATTAAGTCCAGCACAGTTAGATGTTTTACCCAGTATACAAGTTGACCGTGGGACACCAGATTTCACAGAAGATATCAAATATATGGACGCTTCAACAGATTCCTCCCCTACTGACCCCACAATCCCTACTGTATTTTCATCACAGCCTGGTTCCTTTGCTTGATATTCTTAAATGTCGAGGATATGGATTGCAATTTCTGTTTTTAATGTGATTGAAAGATTGGGTGCTGAGCTCTCAAAGTTTTTCCGTTTCTGGCATGAAATTAGATTCACAATTTATATAAATTTCCATCTAGACATGAATTAAAAATAACCCATAATTTTCTCCCTTTGAAACATCTCCTGTTTTAAAAATAAATTTAGCTTTTCAGTAGTACACATCTATTTAGAATAATGGCACAGTGTATCCTGAATGTCGCTAATGTACCTCATGATTTGAAAGAAACAATGACTAGATACTATAAAAATAAATAAGTTGAATGGTGAAACCTTGATATTAGCGACATTAGTGACCTGTTTTAAAATCATGTGACAGGAGACATAGCTCTGTGTGATTAGCGCTTGCCAAAGATGACGTATAACCAGACTTAGAGGATTATTATAGACTGAATGATCAAGACTAGTAACCAGTTATAGTCACTATTGTGTGGTACAGTTCGTCACATGATCCAAGGGCAAAAAGTTGACTTCCTTAAGATGGTCGAATTCCGCAGGATCTTTTTTAGAAACAAACACAATGTTCAAAAAAAAATTTATATATCAAACAATCAATGGTTTTGTGAATTGATTTATACAGAAAGGTTGTGAAAAATATACTACATATAATCCCTTAAGTTTGTATATACATAAAATTAGATGAAAAACAAACACAAGAGTGTTATTGTTCTACAAGTATCTCTAACTGTTAACAGTGTAGTTTTCAGTGATTTTCATGAATCCCCGATTCACATCAACACCCTGATGACTGGTGACTTACAAATGAATCATTTGTAGGTATACATCAGTGATGGGATTTTGCCCGTATATTCCGGACATGTCCGACGCTATTTTCCAAATGTCCTAAATTGTCCGACCAGGAATATGCGCAATCGGACATCAAGACATGGTAAATAATATTCAAAATTCCAAAATTAATATAGTATACTGAGTGCATAACTACCACTCAACCCGATTATCATTGATAATAGGCTGGATTGATTAGGTAATTAAGTGATCAAGGTATTTATCGTTTTATGCCGTCAATACACCTACCTTGATTAACTACTTAATCTGCCTTGATTGGCTGACTTAATTCTTTGTCGGACAATTCACAATTCAATCCTGAACAGAAGTCATTGCTTCTCTTTGTCGAACTATATATCAATCCAATAAACTTAATCTATGTGATTAACCCGTGATTTCTCCATTGTCTCACGTTTTAATCTCCTTGATGTCGTCCGTAGACATTGGTCATATATGTCACATATCCTAATAGTATATAACACCCCAAATCAATATACATTGCGTCAGATAACTTGTCTGTGATATTTCTTCAGTGGAAGCCGAAGTTAAATAAAGCTATTTCACACACACTCAAAATGAAAGTAGAAATCTCGCGAGACACGTGGAATTAAGAGGTGTAAACGTGCCGAATGTAATACGTTTGATGTCGGCAGAAAAGATTCTATTTTGATGGCATATTGTCGGATTTATGATCATATTTTGAATGGGGTTTATGTTTTTAAATAAATAAATATGTTGACAAATATTTCGATTGGAATAACGTAAGTAGTTACAGTAATTGTTCATAGACGATAGCGCGTGCTTAGAGTCGAATGGGATTATTTAGCAGTTGGTGTCACTCGCTCGTTCTGTTACAGCGACGTTTACTACAGTTTACAGCCAAATAAATTTCGGGATGTCATTTTTTTTACCTTCCGTATATAAATCGAAACGGAGCATAAGACTAATGCCGGACTTTGCTGAAAAATGTATCGACTTATGACCCGAAAAATACGGTAATTTGGGGGGAATTTGAAACCGGTACGGATGGGCAGTAGTCGGCACGCTTTCATTCTATGGTATTACGATGTCATGTAATTTTTTAGGAATATTATAGACATAAATTTGAATACCATACGGCAATTAAATATAAAAAATTACGAGGTGCATCTAATTTTTTTTTTATTACGTATGAATTTGAATATTTTGTTGACACGTGATTCTTAATTGTGGTTTGAAAACGCCTGCTTAAATAACGATAAGAGTTATGTCCCTTTATTTTCGGGAAGAAAATGTCCGACAACTAAAATTTTGAAATCCCATCACTGGTATACATTTATAGGAATGTTCTAGTCATTATGACTTTTACTGTATTATATACATGTAATGAATTGAATCTAAAACACAGTTGCAGAAAAATAATAAATCACAAGCATGATACTGATCACATGTGTATTGTACAAGATGTATTTTTTGTGAAATGAATTTCTTTTAAATTTGTATGAAATTTGCTGTGATTTTTATAGCTGGTCCTAATTGGCTTATTTTATCTGCTTATTGGAAACAGTAAACCAAAATATTCAAAACAGTTGTTATATATTGCTGATTGGTGTGTCAAAACCAGTGTGTTTTTGGTCATTTGACATGATTATAGAATGGTTTTCACAAGTTCGCCAATACATGTAAATTATATCATTATTTTGTATTTCTTACAAATTCTAACATATTTTATAATTCATATTTCAATGCATTGTGAATTTGTAAATATTTATAAATATCCATTAAATTATATTACCTTGTTTGTAAAAAATGTTTTCCTTTATACAATAAGCCTATATTCTATATACCGGCCAGTGTAACGATGAAACGTTGGTCAAACTGAGCTATTGACATAATTTAAAGATGGAATGTAATGTATAGGCTGAATTGCTAAATGGACAGAAACATCTTTTTGGCCTGAATTACATGGGAAAGATTCTGGGATTTGATCTTAAACTGTAGAATTTTGTCATACAGTATTTGTCATAATTATTTTTTTTTTACAATAAATAAAATGGAAACATATATGAATTTGTTTTTTTATTATTAATACATATATTCTTTTTTGTATTGTTCTATTACTGCTACATACATCCTTTTTATATGCGCACATTGAAATGTGGTCGTATATTGTCATCGCCCCCGTTCGTCCGTCTGTCTACAGGCTAAAGTTAATATCCAATTGATTTTAAATTTATACTCAATGTTTAAGATCATGAGGCGAAGAAGCCTATTAATTTTCAAAGATTTCCGATCATTACTGCCAGTGTTCTGGCCCTTGGTCACTCTAAAAAATATTGTGGACTCTCTGGGGGCTAAAATTATTATCCAATTGACTTTAAATTTTCAACGATTTTCGATAATCATTGCCAGAGTTCTGGCCCTTACTCACTTTGAAATATCTTGTGGACGCTCTAGACGCTGAAGTTAACGTCCTTAACGTCCGATTGACTTTAAATTTATAAGGTCATGAGGTGAAAAATCCTATTGATTTTCACTGATTTCTGATAATTACTGCTAGATTTATTAGACTTGTTTAAACCTTGTGAACCCTCAAAGAAAATTATAATCTGATCTGTATGAAATTGTCTTGTAAATGCCGCCCATTACCTACAAAGGAATAAATATTTGACAACTCTTGTGACCGCTCGGATGATTGGGCTGCTGTGGGCATATGTTCCGTTGCCTGGCAACCTATCTGTGTATAGTTCTATTAATGTTGTATTGTTCTATTAATGATACATACATTCTTTTTGTATTGTCCTATTAATGATACATTAATTCTTTTGTATTCTATTAATGATACTACTTTCTTTTTGTATTGTTGACAGCCGGTCTGTCTCATTAAATCTTGGAAATCATCCTTCGAAATTTAAGTCATGTTTTGTAAGCATTCTTGACATTTGATTCATAAATGTTCTTGAGTTTTCATTTGATGTTAGTTAAGTCTTTATATTACCAGTCACTTTAAATCTTGCCATGGCTTCATAAATCATGGTTTAAATTCCGAACCATTTTGCACATGCTTCTGAATCATAATCTTGTTTGAGGATTTCAAATTATGCTTATATATTTAAATATTTTTGTAAGGTATAAAATCATGCTTGAGATTTGAAATTGGTTCCTTTGTATTTCTTGATGTTTATTGGAGATTATTTTTTGTTCTTTAAAAGTGCTTATTACAAATATTTGATAATGTTTATCGATGTTTTGTTTTTTTGTTATAGGGATATGTGCAATATTGTTTCATATTAAATAAACAATAATCGTTATTTTCTATGATATTTATTCGTTGTAAGGTATGAAATCATACTTGAGATTTGAAATTTGTAGATTATTATTTGTTCTTTAAAAGTGCTTATTACGAATATTTGATAATGTTTATCAATGTCTTTTTTTTTTGTTATAGGGATATGTGCAATATTGCTTCATATTAAATAGAAAATATGTAAAAATATTATTAAATTTGACTTAAAAATAAACAGAAGCCAATTTTTTATTTATTTATTTTATTTTTGAAATGACCTTTAAAGGTACAATCTTCCAGACTAGCATACTAATTTATCATCCAATAATACATTCTACAGTAGATATCGCTTGTGTGATAAATTTCATAATCTACTCATATACAGGAGATATTGCTTTACATGAATTTGATTGGTCAGTTAAAAGGAACTTCTTTTTATACGCCCACATTGAAATGTGGTCGTATATTGTCGTCACCCCCGTCCGTCGGTCCGTCCGTCCGTCCGTCCGTCAGTCCGTCTGGCGTCCACAAGCAAAAAATCTTGTGGACGCTCTAGAGGCTAAAGTTAATATCCGATTGACTTTAAATTTATACACAGTTTTTAATGTCATGAGGCGAAGAAGCCTGTTGATTTTAAGTGATTTCCGTTAATTACTGCCAGAGTTATGGCCCTTGATCCCTTTGAAAAATCTTGTGAACGCTCTAGAGGCTAAAGTTAAAATCCGATTGACTTTAAATTTATACACAGTGTGTAAGGTCATGAGACGAAGAAGCCAATTGATTTTCAGCGATTTTCGATAATTACTGCCAGAGTTATGGTCCTTGATCACTTTCAAAAATCTTGTGGACGCTCTAGAAGCCAAAGTTAATATCCGATTGACTTTAAATTTATACACAGTGTTTAATGTCATGGGACGAAGAAGCCTATTGATCTTCAGCGATTTCTGATAAGTACTGCCAGAGTAATGGCCCTTGATCACTTTGAAAAATCTTGTGGTAACTCTAGAAGCTAAAATTAATATCCGATTGACTTTAAATTTATACACAGTGTTTAAGGTCATGAGACAAAGAAGCCTATTGATTTTCAGCGATTTTCGATAATTACTGCCAGTGTTATGGCCCTTGTAAATGCTGTAGAGGCTACAGTTAATATCCGATTGACTTTAAATTTCTACACAGTGTTTGAGGTTATGGTCCTTGATCACTTTGAGGTCATGAGACGAAGAATCATATTGATTTTCAACCATTTTCGATAATTACTGCCAGAGTTATGGCCCTTGATCACTTCAAAAAATCTTGTAAATGCTCTAGAGGCTACAGTTAATATCCGATTGACTTTAAATTTATACACAGTGTTTGAGGTTATGGTCCTTGATCACTTTGAAAAATCTTGTGACGCTCTAGAGGCTAAAGTTATCATCCAATTGACTTCAGATTGATACACAGAGTTTAAGGTCTTGAGACGAACAAGTATATTGATGTTAAGAGTTTCGTATACTAAACATTAGCATGGGGCAGAACTTTATAAAAACCAAACAAATTCTAATGGTTTTCTGATAATTACTTAATTAGTTGTTACTCTTAATCAGATTTTAATGTATTATAAATGTTTAATTACTGAAAAAAGTAAAAATATGCGACAACTCTTGTTGACTCCCTGGACGATTTAGCTGCTGTGGGCGTATGTTTCGTTGCCTGGCAACCTATCTTTTATTATTTTATTAAAAATGAATTATTTATATTTAATTGACCTTGGTGGAAACACTGGGTCAGTATAAAGGACTTTGCAATGGTTGAATTGCTGTCAAAAAAATGATATATCACTACCCCGTAATGTAATCAGGTTCAGTAAAAGTGAAGTCTATAACAAAGAATTATTTTTATGCATGTAAGAAAGGATTGGGTGATAAATAAAATCTCCTACTCGTCTTTTTTTTATATCAAAAAATATCAACACTCGTCGATAAAGTAAAAATAAACTCGGCAAAAAAAACCTTTTTAATATCAAAAATGGCTGGTAGGAGATTCTTTATTTAGACTTTCAGCCTGTAAAAATTAAAAATTAGTCATGTCAAAAAGTCAAAAATTATGTAACTTGATAAGTCCTAACATAAGTCATGGCTGTCCAAAGCTTTTATTACTTTCTATTGATTTCATAATATCACCTTTTTCTGTTTTATGTCAGTCATGGTTTCTGTGCATGTACATCAATATGTCAAGATGGCATCTAAAAAAGATTTGTTCATGTATGATGTTGTTTTTATAGTATCATTGTTGTATCCTGTAGTCATGCATGGGCATTCATCATCAAAATGAACTTTATAAAAGCAGAAAGTTTATTGTATTTTGAATGAAGTTCTGTTTGCTTTTGCCTGAAATGAAATGGAAAAAGACCACTATGTATGTTCATTATCTACTTATTTGCATATTCCGTCATTTTTATATTGCCACATTAAATTATCAGGTGTATTGCCATCCTAGTCCATTGTCCATCCACCCATATCTTGTGAAAGTCATAGTGGCACAGCACAATTGCTATGGATTGTTTATTTTTTATTTATTTTTTTAAAATTTGTTGATTTTTGCATACGATAATAAAGGCAAACTGAGTATTAATTCATCATTACTAGATTTTATAACATTAATAATATTTTTTTGTCATTTATTAAGTCTGAGAATATATTAAAATGGATGCTTATATACTTTATTATCTAGAACACATGACACTATGCTTTACAATTGAAACAGCTGTCACTTTGACACATTCCATTGGTAATATCTCTCCAATGACCCCACAAAAATAGGTCGAACTTTATCATTACATTGCTCAGTAACCAGTAACCGTTCCAACTTCATTACTTAAAGGCTCGGTCTACAAGAACAAAAATAGTACCGAATTTCAAAAGTTGCTATTCTGTAATGGAGCGATTCAACGGACCTACCATGGCCGCCCCCCCCCGCTTCGGTAGACTGGCTCTTCAAGTTATGAAGCTAAAATTTGTTCGATCTATGTGAAACATGCTGGTGTTCATTCAGATAATATTCTTTGGAATGGGTACCAAGCAATTTATTGTTAAAGTCCGACCAGTTTTTGGTCCACCCAATACATACTTTTACACTAAATTCCCATTTTGTATTTAATATGGGAATTATAATTTTGCATTCCCTTAGTCTTTAGGATGTATGGGTATTGTATTGTATTCAATTACAGCCAATTTTATTATATATTGGCCTTTCAATAATTTATGGATATATCAGACTTTTCTCAAAGAGAATTTAGAAATGGAAATTCTGACAAAATCCTTTTCACGTTACCGTAACACGTCTGGTTGTATATAATGATACGGATAAAATTTATTTCTTGTGATCTTTGATGAATGATATCATGCTTTCCTTTTAGAGATTTTAATTGTTCCATATTTTCTTGGAATCAAGTTTTATTTTGAAATAAACAGTTTAAAATTACAACTTTATGTCCTTGTATGTTGTATAGAGATTGTTTTAGGTGTGTTTTAATTATAGCTTCATTCAACATCACCGTTGGGCTTTATTAACCCTTTAAAGCTGCAATTATTCGGCCAACATTGTCCATCAGTATGAAGAAGTACTCGTTTTGTCATACAGAATTTACCCCAGATGCAATATTACGCAACAAAAAGAGCTCAGCACGGTTAACCTCAATTTGTTTCATAGAGATCTTCTAATATCTCTGTAACAGATGACTGTTTCGACACGCGGCGTCAATCATTGACTCAATAGCGCGTGCATTGTTTACATAAGACGTTACTGATTCGGGCTAAATGGTGAATTTTACTTATTTTAATACCCATTAGGAAATGATTTTTACCTACAAATCTTTCAAACGTCATTATTTTTCTAATAAATGGAAAAAAAATGTTTTAGAATTTAATTTGACGGAAGAAAAAGTTAATATTTGGGACTCATGAAGTCGCATCGATGTCACCCTTATCAGTGATTGTAGCGGCCTAGCGAAAATTCACCGCTGATCAGTGTGGTTTTACCTGTGTATGGCAGTAAGGTGATTCTACAAGCGGAAAACATTAGGACAATGGGGAATTCCGATTATTGTTGATAACGAGTTTAAGATGGGGGTTTGTGTAACTTTTTATAGATAAAATTATTGATGTGATGAAACTATACTCTCACTTAATTAGAACTAAAGTTATCGTGTCCCAAAGCATCAGCTAATCAAATTGCTTATCTCTGCTTACAAATGCTTATCTTCGAACTCCATAAAGGCATCGACCTAATAAACACTTACACCAAATTTGAAAATTCTAGCTCAATTAGAAGGAGAGTTATTGTGTCCCAAAGTCTCGACCGATCAAATTGCGTATCGCACTGCTCATCAAAGTGCTTATCGCACTGCTGAGGGTAAGCAGAGCGATAAGCAATTTGATTGGATGAGACTTTGGAACACAATAACTCTCCTTCTAATTGAGCTAGAATCTTCAAACTTGGTGTAGGTGCCTTGATGGAGTTTGAAGATGAGCATTTTCTGCTTAGGGCAAGCAGAGATAAGGAATTTGATTGGTTGATGCTCTGGGACACAATAACTTCAGTTCTAATTAAGTGAGAGTGATGAAATGAAATGAAATGGGGTTTAACGTCCTACTGTTTTGCTCCGAACTGGGCTAATGAAGACGGGCATACGCCATACAGTGTGCTATGAGGGAAATTTTGCCCGGACAGCGGCACTACGGCCTACTCTTATATCGAATTCCAACTGTCAAGGGATCTTTTACGTGCACGCCAATGTGTACACGGGACCTTGGTTTTTCGTCTCATCCAAATGACTAGACAGCTGTCCTTGTCAGGCCCTCCGTCCTGCATCACTGACAAGGGGAAACCACGCCGGAAAATCTGGATGAACTTTCTCGGCCAATGCAGGGATCGAACACCCGACCTCCAGGCTAGCGAGCCAGCGAGTGATGAAACTTGGTGTATAGTTTCATCACATTAATACCTTGATAATGAACATTTTCTCCTGAATTTGATTGGTCAAGACTTTGGAACATAATAACTCTGCTTTTAATTGAGGTAGAATGGTTAAACTTGATGTAGATGTTCATTAATTTTATTCTATCTGATAGAGAGTGACGAAACTTAGTGTATGGTTGATAATCAGTTTGATTGCTCGATACTTTTGAAAAAGATAAACGTGCAGTTAATTAATATGTGTCATCTATTTATTTCAGGAAATCAGTGGGGGACATCAGCCTCACTGTTGGCTTGTTTTAATTTGTGTTTGACCAGTGTTTTACGCGCATTTTGCACCCAGTTCATGCGAAACTGGGTCGACATAATCTATATGGACAGTCAACTGTTTACAACACACCCAGAATTGACTACAGTGTTTGCTACTACACGGGCAATATCGTATTATATATATAGTATACTTTTAATTTGTGAGTGACCAGTGTCTTGCGCATATTTTGCACCCTGGTCCTTTGAAACTCGATCAGCATAACCTTCTGGACAGTAACGGCAATTACATTCAACATGTATGTTGATCAGAAGTGTTGGGCAATCAACATCCTAAAATATTGTAATACGATGCACACAGTTCAGGAACAAATACTTTATTTCAAAACTAAATTTTAAGATATTAACTTTTAATAAAACATACATAGATTTTGATTTAAATTTCTTAGATGAGTATAATGCCCTAATCTTTGTGTATTTTTTTCTTTAATAAAACAAAGCTTAATATATTCTCAGTAATTTCAGTCCTGAAAGACCTTGATATTTCGAAATATTTTCAGAAAGTATTTATTATCTTCCTGTAATTTTTCATTGATTTATTATTGATGACAACATTAACAATAACAGTTTCTTATCTTCCAATCATGTCAATTTCTGCTTATTATAGATTTTAGAAGGTTGTTTTGTATGATCCATATGATATCACCACACATAGAGTGTGAAATTTAATTTGGAATGTTATTTTCGGAAAATGTTTGTTTATAGCTGAGATACGATTTCACAGAACGCCAACACCGCAGTTCTGATCCTCAGTAAAAAATTTGATTGTGGTCACCTGGTAGGTCTAATTAACCGTCCATGTGAAGATTTCCGATTGATGTTACATTCAGAATCATCACATTCTTTGATTTTATGCATTAATGACACATTCCATCTTCCATAGCTATGTTTTCATCTTTATGTTGTAACGCTTCGCAACTTATTGTCTACAGTGTTATAGATAAATGTAAAAAGCTACTAATACAAATTGTTCACATTTTATCAGGGTATTAAAATCCAAATTTCCCTTTTACACCCGCTGCTGCATCCTCAGCTGTATTTTTAGCATCGGTAGCTGCCTTCGTACCGGTATCCTCGGCGCCACTTTTAGCGGACCCGAAAGCATTGGAAGCTTTGTTTTGCAGACCTTCCACTGCTTCTCCGGCTTTTTCTTTGACTTGCTCGACGACTTCCTCGACCTTCTCACCAGCCTGTCCAGCAGCTTGGCTGGCGCCATCTTTTACTGAAATTAGAAGGAAAAAAATTAGAAAATGAAGCTGGTTTTGATTTTTTCTACCCCCTGATATTTTGGTGTCTCCACTCAGTGGCATATTACTCATGGCGCACCCGCGTCAGTGCCCCCTCCCACCCTTACGGTTTAGGGACCCCTAAGAAAGTTAGAATACATGATTTCGTTTAACACGTACATTACATAGTTGTTTTATAACTATTATATGTGTTTGCGTATGTGTGGCATAACAACTCTACGTTCCACTATGACGCATGGGGGATGGATGGCCGAATGGTTACCACGTGCGCGCTGTATCATATAATGCCTGTCATAGTCATCTGGCGTGGTTTCGAATCCCCGGCTGTACGTGACAAGGATTAGGGTCGCCTGTCCAACCTCGTTGTTTTTCTCCCAGTCCTCCGGTTTCCCCCCAATGCTACGCGCAAGCGAATTATTGAAATAAAATTAAACCATATGTTAGTCCCGAAATGACCTAGTTTGTGTTGAGTCGACGTTACCCCCCCCCTCTCTCTCTTTCTCTCTCTCTCTCACTATGACGCATGGATGGCTGCACAATTTAGTATGGTATAGTATTGCAGATGACGTTAGTACAGTAAAGGCACGTAACATCTAAATTTACTGCACTGCATTTTGTTATTTGTTATACAAATTGCTAAAAGTAAGCATGACTGAGCGAGCATTCAGCTCAACCTACTTTAGATAGTATTTTTTCTATTTAACCAACATTGTGTAAAAGATAATCGTCAATATGATTTATATAATTCAATTTCAACAAAAACAACCTATTTTGGGGAGAGGGCAAGTGTCACCATGAGTCTTAATCCGGCACTTAATTCAGGATAATTTAACTTTTTCTGGCCTGTGCTTCGCAAGGAAAACGTAGACGCTTTCAGTTGTTATTTTCCTAGACGCAGATATTTTAGTTTATATTATATCAAGTAACAAACTCAATATCAAAACAGTGAAACGAGCCAACCTTTCTAGTAACTCTTAATGAGAATGATAAGTTTCCAGGCAACTAAATATTTTATGTGTAATGGTAGCAGTTACAAGACACTGGTCATGTGCAACAAACTTCGCTCTCCAGGCGACCGCGGGCCATAACTCTGAATCTATTCGTTCTCACGACTTCTTCATCTCACTAAGGACATACAAACTGTGAATTCAAGGCAATTGAATGATAACTTTGGTCTGTAGAATGCCCACAAGATTGTATAAATGGTCAAAAGCCATAACTCATATCAACATGAACGGGACGGGGTGACAAAACACAACAACATTTCAACGTGGGCGTATAAAAATGTATTTGGAAATTTAAAAATATTAAAAGCCCTCGAGTTAATTTCAGTTAATCAGATGTTGTTATGAACAACATTGAGTTAACACCCATTTTGATTATTTTGTTACCTTGTTACCTTTCTGTACCGAGCGACATTATTAAACCATACATTACAGTCGGCGTCCATTATTTATCCACAATAGCTCAAAGAGACACTATACTGAAACAATATTTTTTTTTATCTGACGTGACTTGAATATACAGTTAGATCGGAAATGTGTACAAACTCTTAGGTCAGCCCACCAATCCATTATTCGGGAATTATTGGAAAGAACGATGCCTTTAGCACGCTAGCGCGCTTGCATTTCCGTTAACTAGGTGAATCGAAAGATCTTTTGGTATGATGAACACGTATTTGGTGTATTCTTGACAAAGACGCCAATATTACGGTCTATGTCATGCTAGGGAAGAGAATTGTGCCCAGATAGCGGCGTTTACATCATACCAAGCCATACAACCTTAGGCGCTACCTTTGACAAGTTGTCTAGAGTAGCATCGTATAAAGAACCCCTTTGGTTCACCATCAATTAATTCATAACTAATTTGGTATTCGGGTTTGAGCAATTCAGAAAAGGTGAAAAACCGGTTTCACGGCATTAAAAAAGTGATAATAAACATGTCATGGATGATGGTCGATGTCGGTGAGACATAAGTTTTAGCCTTATATCCCCTTTGTTAATCAAGGGGATAAAAAGATGTTGACTACCTGTTTATTCTTCACTAAAAGCTTCAAATAGACTAATTTCATCCTCAATAAAATAGTCATTCGGTCAGAAGTAAATCACTCTACTGAATTAATAGGGGATAAAATGGACAACGCGGTACAGCAACTCGGTATGTTATTTTGCCGAATATATGAAGTCACAAATATTTGCTAAAGATGTTACTTCTATTCACAATTACTTTTCAAAGCCGTTGACTCTATACACAAATACTTGCTAAATGTGTTACTTCTATACACAAATACTTGCTAAAAGCGTTACTGTTATACACAAATACATGCTCAACCTGTTACTTTTATGCACAAATACTTTTTAAAGGTGTTGCCTCTATACACAAATACCTGAAAAGGTGTTACTTCTATACACAAATACAAATACCTGAAAAGGTGTTACTTCTATACACAAATACTTGCTGAAAGTGTTGCCTCTATACACAAATACTTTCTAATAGTGTTGCCTTTATACATTAATACTTGCTAAAGGTGTAACTTTATTAACATTTAGAAGACACGAAGTAAAACTACTTTGGTTTAGATTTCCAGAAAATCTAGACTAATATTAAAAGAAGTTATATTAACATTTTCGAATATTGCCATCATGTTACTTTATATGCTATGATGCAAATCTAACTTCAGATTGAAATGACCGTATTCCCACCACCAAGCGGTTGTCCAAAAGGTGTCGGGTGGTGGGGTACATTGATCAAAATAACGTGCGAAGCATATTCACAGTTTTGGTTTAACTCCTATTATGCGATGTTTGCACTTAAGAATGTCTCAGACCCTCCCCTGCTCAAATTCCTGAAAACGCCCCCCCCCCACCAAATACCGCTGTAAGCACAGGATGGGAATATAATAAAATGACGTATAATGAAGTAGTTATTGATCTATATGAATCAGGAGTGCTAGAAGGGTAATGATAGATACAGTATGTGTTTAGTTCTAACCAATCACTTGATCGATAAAAACTAATTAAGTAATTAAATGAGATGAGGTTGGGTCGGCAAGTATGATAACCTGTCTATTTTTATCCTAGCGTAACACATGATTATCCAGGGGCCTATATATCTATCTTATACAACCCGAGTCTATGTCAGCTTTCTAAAACAGCAGTTTATTAGTTCACAGAGGAAGAATGAATACCTCTACATACTATTTTTGATTGATATACCCCTTCTAATTATAAATTCCCATATTTTCATTTCGAAACGTTAATATCTTTAGCTTATAAATTTTAGCAGGGGCACAGATATACATAACAGGTTTGTGACTATTTTCGACATGATAGCAATTATTTAATTTAGCAGGGACAACGATATACATAACAGGTTTGTGACTATTTTCGTCATGATAGCAATTATTTAATTCGAAATGAAATTGAACTGGGTGAATTTCATCTTTTTTTATAAAATAAACCGGAGCAGATGTTCATTTTATTAATACGTTTCGTATGTCGGTTTTACTTTTATGTATTCGTGGCTGTAAAATTGCAAATCCCCACTTCCGACGACATTAAACCTCTAATGCAAGTTTCATAAATTTAAAAATAAAACCCCCAAAAAACGATTCATACGTTGAGGAGTAAGAATAAAAGCATATCTTTGCGGTTGAACAGTAAAGGATCAACCACATACAATTGGGGTCAGTATTCAAATTTAGTGAATTTATATAGGAATTAACATCACGATGTAATTTACGTCAGTAGTAAGTAAAAGGTCACGACCTTTTCATTCATACAACTGGTTTTAACTTAAACACCTAACCTACATATTTAATGTGTAAATGGAAACCGCAGTGGTTCGGCGAGTAAGGTACTGCTGGCTGACCAACCAGAGGGCTGGTGTTGGTCGAGAAAGTTCCCTGGGATTTTCCTGTCCGGTTTCCTCTTGTCAGTGTTGCATGACGGGTGACCTGCAAGGAGCAGCTTCTTCGTTCGGATGGAACGAACGGAATAACTGAGGTCCTGTGTACACGTTCGCATGCTTATACGTTAAAGGAGCTAAATCGCTAATAATTGGGACACAGAAATTGGCACACATATAATAATGTAATATGAATGTATATAAACTGATTTACATTCAATCGTTTCTGTTTTTACTGGAATTTCTAATCAGTTATGTTCGGCGAATTCTCAATCGAGTGGCAACCTCTAGTGTCTGGTTATACCAGTCTACACCGGTAGTATTTCTTGCACATGTTCTCCAGGTAAGAATATGGCGCCGCCGTTCGACATGACTTCTCTTCCCGGTAAGATCACAACATCAATGTTAATTTAAATTGACAAATAATTCGTGTTTTCAATTGGATGATATTGAGTTAGAGACTTAGCTACTTTAAAGAAACCATAGCAGCTGGAATTCAATTGCTGTCCTGGCAAAATTTCTCTAATAGCACAATGTATGACGTGTGCTCGTCTTCATTATCCCGGTTGACGCAGAAAAGTTATTGCACTTTGGCGCAGAAAATATTTTACACTTTGATTTATTGAATGTTGAAGGCGATGACTTTGAATTGTTGGAAATGAAATGGAATTGGGTTTAACGTCTTATTTTACAGAAGACTGTTTAATTGTTGGAATTTAAAAGGAAATTGTTTTTTTTCCTTATTAATTTATTCATTCACACCAAATTACAATATGGTGTTCTCTCTTCATCCGCTAATAAACAAACAATTAATAATGTTCTATACGAGTTCAATTTACAAAAGATCAATTAAATCTAGCCTGCCGGTGAATTGTGATAAACACAGACATCCTGGATGGCCATTCTATATTATTGATTAATTAAGAAACATCAGACGATATAGATCATACCAACCGAATTCATGGTTCACAAACAAAAGTTCTAATTCAATTCAACTTTCGCCATCATAAATATATGAATTAATACGCCAACATTAATGTAAACATAATATTGTCGTCACCTGCACCCGCCACCTAGGACAAACGACTATAACATTTAAAAAAAAACCTCCGGACAATTCTGAAATTATCACCACTAAAACCCCACGGCGGAGATCTAAACATACACCATTCTCGTACTCGAACCAGACACTCTTCCCTCGCAAGCCGTGCAGATGTGCAATAACATAAAATTAGCAATAATAATAGGCCTACAAGCAAATAGCTAGACTTGTATCGTCTGTAAGGCATCTATTTTGTTTACCGAATGACTAAAACGTTATACAATTCAGACCGTGGTCTGCATATTACCCACTGAGTAAAATAACACGTGGTTATAATATTGTACGAGAATAAACTATTTCTTGATGGGGCTATAGTCATTTCCTTTTCACCGTCAATTCAAAATATGGGTTAAATCTAGCAATTTTGCCTTTCCGAAGCCAACCAGACAGGGTCGGTGGTTAAAGAGAAAATTCCCAATTTCCAAATAACAACATTAAAAACGCAAAATAAAACACAAATGGACGAAAATATATGAATGAAAAGCAATATTTCTTTAATAAATTTGAAAACCATAACGATGTTATTTAATAAATCAAACCGGGATAATTTTGAGGTTGATTTAAACGCTTTGACTCGAACAAATGTTTAAAAGATTCTTCAACACTATACTTTTGTTGCTTGTTAATGTAAATCATTTTTAAATTAAATTCATTTTTACAATGCAAATGTTCAAACATACCGCATACAATGGCGTATATTATGAGTTAAGGCGTTCCCCAGAATATGCATGAATACAGAAATAGTGATTCAACAATTCAAGCCAACTCGACTAGGCAACGGCATGCATACAGAGTATCATCATCCCTATGCAGGTATTCGATGTTTAACAAGGTTGTAACCCATATAGAATAACTAAACGAGAATGTACAACACATGGCTGTGAAGATGACAACGAGTTCGTATTCATGCATAGATTTAAGAAAATGAAATGAAATGGGGTTTAACGTCTTACTGTTTTGCTCCGAACTGGGCTAATGAAGACGGGCATACGCCATACAGTGTGCGATGAGGGAAATTTTGCCCGGACAGCGGCACTATGGCCTACTCTTATATCGAATTCCAACACGGGACCTCGGTTTTCCGTCCCATCCGAACGACTAGACAGCTGTCCTTGTCAGGTTGAAAAAGAAAAGATACCATATAATATGAAATGGAGGATTTAATCCTTCTTTGAGCCTAAGATTTTGTTGCATATCAATGCAAAGTTTGGTGAAGGAGTGAAATGGCGCATGACTCCTAATATCCAGATACTCAAAGCAACAATCTGTAAACTGTTTACAAACTATCAGTTTACTTTACAAAAAAACCCAAAACATTCTGTTCTTTTTTCTCTTTTTGAACAAAAATAAACCCAACAACCAACCCCAAACCCGTTAAACGATTCAAGGGATATGGCCTCGAACAACAGAAAACCGGGACGAAAATTTCTGAAAGTAGAAGCATTAACTGTCGGGCAATTTTTCTAAGGTAAGGTTTCATTGACATTGTAGTGTAATTTTCATCAAGATAGTGGAATGATTTGAAGTATAATACGCTCTATATATGGAACCATGGAATACTAAGCAAACATTTCTATAGATCTATTATTGATTGTCTGCAATTCTAAATATTTCTATAAGAATCCTCTCTTATCCTATCCTGCAAAATTATCTTATTTCACCAAAATAAATGTCTCAAAAACAATTTACCTGACTTGCTGATATCTCCGAAATTCATGTTGGCTGTTTAATAGAACGATGTGAAGTCGATGAGAGACTGGCGGAGTTGTAAATCTGTTATAGCTGTCTCTGAATAATAGATTGTATACCCGCCTGCAGCTTTCAATCTCGTTCTGCTCTGAATAATGGACTGAGTGACTGCCTTAGTGCTAAATATGTTATATACACCCACTAGATCGTATATTGGTTGGTCGCTAAGTTCATTGATTGAAACTTGTTTTTAGTGGAAAGTTTTTACATATGGGGCACCATGACCATTAAACTCTAGGCGTGGTTAACAAATTGCGCGGGAAACAACCGAAACCCGGTTCATTGACGGGTTATTATTTAAAAGGGCGGCTACAAAAATGCGCGGGAAACTTTCCATTCGTGGATGTGTCTGGTATGCGTCATACATACCATCAGAGTATCTTTCTTTGATGTTTACTTTTTATTATTAAAGCAACAAATTATCATTTTGACAATCTTAAGATATGGTTGTAGATACCCATCCATGTAAGTCGAATATGGAGCGTTTATAAGAAATGTGGAAATGACCGCCCATCTTACTATTGGATCTGTGTCTCCATTTTATGTTTCCATTTTAGATCTATCCCTAATATAAAACACATTAGTGGAGCAATTACTGAATATTGCAATTGTGTATGACAAGAATACAAATAATCTTTGAATTGATGCATTCATAACTTTTGTTCTGTCTTAATAGATAATAAAAGATAGTATAGTACAATATCAACCTCAAAGGGTAAAAAAGCGCCCCCCACCCGGTAAAATAATGGACATAGAGGAACCAACTATTTGTATTCGAGTAACAGCAATGTTAAATATGCACATAAATGTCTTGCAGGAAATTAGCTTAAAACCAATGCATGAGCATTCGTCGAATTCTTCATTTGAGATATTGCTAAATTAATATAACCCATTTTTGTCGAGGCCCAACGCAAAGAACATGAATTATTAATGGAAGGGTTTTTGTCGATAAAATAGAAATGAAAATGGGTACAGTTAGTAGAAATTATTGATTGTAAAATATAACAAATGAAATGAAATGAAATGGGGTTTAACGTCCTACTATTCTGATCCTATGCTGGGCTAATGAAGACGGGCATACGCCATACAGTGTGCTATGAGGGAAATTTTGCCCGGGAAGCGGCACTATCGCCTACTCTTATATCGAATTCCAACTGCCAAGGGATCTTTTACGTGCATTCCAATGTATACACGGGACCTCAGTTTTTCGTATCATCCGAAGGACTAGATAGCTGTCCTTGTCAGGCCCTCCGTCCTGCATCACTGACAAGTAAAATATATCAAATTACTATGAAACTACAAACTACTAGAATCTTTCGGTCACACTTCAAATTTTCTATCGAATGTGGTAAAGTTATTCAAAATCTAATTGTAAACATTAGGAAAGGAAATAATCTATCAAGCACCGCAATTGTCTAATGGGGAATTGGTGGAAGACTTTAGCTATCTATAGATAGTTCCCTTTTCGAAAAAGATATTATGTGAAAAAATGAAATTTTAGGACTAGTGTTAAGTCTAGAGCTCATTGACGTAGGGTTAGAACTTCTAGTCTTTTCAGATACATTGATACAAGTCATTTATACCAGTCGGCTGAAAGAATGTCCAGAGGTTAGCATCGCAATGTTCAGAAATTATTTTGAGTGAAGCTTCAATACAAGCGTTGGAATCATGAAACAGGCATTTATAACGACCTCAAACATCAAATAAAACATATTCTGTATTGGATATCTATTATTCTACTGTAATTTAAAATGTTAACTTAAAGAAAAATGTATATAATTTACAAAAAGTAAAGCCACAATAACACATTTTTAAAATCCAAATTTCCCCTTGAACCCAGATGCCTTGGCAGATGCTGAATCTTTTGCCTCACTTGCAGATTGCCCAATTGACGTGGCAGTATCTTCAGATTTATTCTTAACATCTACTGCAGTACTTTTAACGGAATCATAAGAACGGCTTGCCGTTTCCTTAATCTTATCTCTTGACTCCACTGCTCTATCTTGGACATCGACAGCTGTACTTTTAGCGGAATCATAAGAACTATTCGCATTTTCCGTGAGATTATCTTTGACCTCTGTTGCTGTATTCTGGGCATCTGCAACATTTGCTTTGACAGAATCGCGTGCACCAGCAGCTTTGTCCTGGATGTTATCTTTAACATCTGCAGCGTTGGCTTTAGCAGAATCATAGGTACTGGTAGCTTGCTCCTTCAGACTATCCGCAGTTTCTGCGACTTTATTTTGTACATCAGCAGTCGTATTTTTGGCTGAATCATAAGTTCTGCTAGCTTTGTCCTGAATGTCATCTTTAACCTCTATAGCTTTCTTCTGCCCATCCACAACACTGGCACTAACAGAATCACAAGCACCGATAGCCTTGTCCCCCAGGTCATCTTTTATTGATTCAGCTCTATTTTGTGCATCTATCGAAGTGCTTTTGGCAGAGTTGTATGCGCTATTAGCGGATTCGTTAATCTTTTCTTTAACACCCGCCGCAGTAGAATTAGCCGAATCTTTAGCCGACCGAGAAACCTCCCCAGCCTTCTCTTGTATGTGGTCCTTTGCGTCTGCGACCCTTTCTTCAGTATTAGCAACAGTTGCGTCTTTAGCTGATCCAAAAGCACCACTGGCTTTGTCGCTTAGTTGCTCCGTGGCTTGTCCAGCATTTTCTTTAGCTTCAACTACGACTTCTGCAAACTTCGCCTCTGTCTGGCTGGCAGCCTTACCGGCTTTCACATTCGCTATGGAAAGAAGAAAATACACCAGTAATAATACTCAGTACACACACTCCATTTAATCAGGGAGTTAAAATACATTTTTAATCAAGATTAAATGAAAAACAATATTCACATTCCTGTTACCGTGTAAAGGACATAATACCTAAATTAAATGGTCTATTTGATGGGGGAATGGGGAGGGGTTGGGGGGCACTACTTCGAAGAGGAACGACACCTTTGAAACATGTCATTTTTTCCCTCTCATAGAGATTGTTTAAGACGTACGTGGCTGGAAAAAGTGGGCGTGGGAGTACATTGTTTCCTTTCGGAGGTAGGTTTATTGGCCTCATTAACTCTCACCTGCGCAACATGACGTAACGTGATTGGAAAAGGGGGTGGGGTGGGGAATTTTATCAGATTGACGGGGGGGGGGGGGTGCGATCTAGAGACCCCTTGGCTCCCATCTGGGTCCACCATGTCGAACTAGGCTTAAATGTCAAATGAACTGCTTTACTACTGTATATCATAACCGCATGACCTACTTAAATTTACGCATTATTGATTCAGTAGTTTATTTTATAACAAAGTTGAGTCACTAGCCTGGATATATAGAGACTATATTAAATTCACCTCATACATTATAAAAACCGGTTTACAATCTGTAGTCTGTTGCTAACAATGGTTATAAAAAGAGAATTCGTGTGGAAATATTTGGTGTTGAATATTCAATAAAGAAATCATGATATATTACCTGAAGAGGTGATATTTATCATAACAATTAAATAATACGAAATTATAGATTAGAAATTAGGGCAGGTGGGTCACTAAACAGGGTGGCGAGGACAAAAACAGATTAAGAAACGGGGTGGGGGGTGGGGGGTGGTTGGTGGGAGCTTTAGAGCGAAATTCACGATATAACTTTTAACATAGTAATACTTGTTTTAATACGTTTACTTCACATGTAGTGTAATACTAACATACAGTATACTGGCTAAAAATGTTAGTTTTTATGACCTTTTTCTAAAATATTACAGTTAGATTTTATATTTTGTTCCATTTCCATTTCCATTATTATTTTCAATTTATTGTCATAATTTTTATATTAAAGGGCCAATCTTGAATATATTTTGGAGAATAAAGCTTCTTAATTTTGTGTTAAAAGCCCTGAAAATCCTCTACCTTAGGGCCAAGCAACTAACTCAATATGCGTTATACGTATCCATACAACTCAAACTCGTCAATTTTCATCTGGAAATGGAGACCGGTGTCCCAAGCTGTATTATACTTTTATTTTTTGAAAAATAACGTGTAGGTGGAATTTACCTTTCGTTATTAAGTACATTAATGTATTATATATTAAAAGGTTATAGTTAAAGCTACTCTCAGGTGTTATATATGTAGTTTTAGTGGGTGCCCCATATATCCGCAGGCCCCGGGCCAACGGCCTACTATGCATAATGGTAAATCCAGCCCAGTTGTTGAATATAACTAGCATTTGCAGAATGGCGCTGTTCATGAAGGTATTTTGCGCATTACGCTACTCTCGGGTCATTTTTACCTACTCGAGGACTCAGGATCCTTCCCAAGGGGATTCAATGAAGTTATTTGCAAGAGTTCTGTGTTTTCTTCCTCGCTATTTAGGTTCACTCTCAATTTAATTTCGGGTAATCGGAGATTCAAGGCGTGGGGAGGCGGGGTGACTTCGGTTCACATAATTGCTCTCTGGTTCCCCGAATATCACGTCTCTGTGATGTGGTACATCCCTTGGCTGAAGACGAAGTTAATAACAAATTCACGCCACAAAATGGTTTGTAAATAATAAGCAATAAATGCAAGCCCAAGTTTTAAAATTGGGGCAGTCTTTAAATTAAACTACTGTAGGCCTATCTACAGGGTAAGAGCTAACATCTTGAGAAATCTACATCAGAAAATGTCCGTTAAAAAGTTGATTCATTTGCTTTATTTATAGATTAGACCCTAGGACCATCGTCATGGAATAACATCTACGCCGGAAAGACAAATCGCGGATAATGAAGCCAGATTACCGCTTGCGGGCATGAGAAGAAACATTTGCCTAGTGACCTAGCCTTTGAATTAGACGAAAGCGCACACAATCGTGCCCTCAAAAACTATCCTTACATTGTCATATGAAATTCAAGAAGAATATAAATGCCACCAAACCCAGTTCGGCAATTTAACTACCTATGCATATAAAAATTATGTATAAAAATTTGCTAACCTGATTTTTTAAAGGCTCCAAAATTCATTCTGATAATTTTATTCCTTGGATAATGTCAGGATTAGCTGAACTAAATCTGAACTAATTGTTCTGCCTTAAACGGTAGAATAATTTGTCTCAACGTAATTATTGTAAGAATATTTGCTTAACGTCCTGAACAACAGCTGGCTTTAGTGGTAATTATTACAATAAAATTTGAATAGAATTCTTTAAAGCAACCAAATTATCATACAAAAATATAGATTTTCTAGAAAATAAACAAAATTCTGTTTATTATATAGCAAATCATTATTTAATTCTGTATCTTATCATTAAAATAGGGCTTGTATGCAAAGTTTACAAAAATAATTCAATAAAAAGTTAGGCATAGATTTTGTTTAATCTGCAGGTGATAGTGTTATTCCTCAACGAATATGTCTTCATTAAGGGGGGATAACTCGTGAATTGCGTGTCTTTCAGAATAAAAAACTAATGCAAAATTACGAAATGAAATAAAATTGGGTTTAACGTCCTCGTGCCCTGCACCGACAGGGCGGCAATACAGTGTGCTGTGGGGGTAATTTTGCCCGCACGATAACGGTATCTCGGGTTTGCACCACTGACAATGAGGGAGCCCACCGCAAAATCATAAGACAATCACTGATGTCGAAAAAGTCATTTGATTTTTTTTAAGACAAAATGGCGACTATCACGAAACGTGGAATTCCGAGAAAGAATCGGAGTTTATTTTATGAGAGGTCCCTGCAGTATGATTAGAATTATAGGAAGGCTGAAAATTGAGCAAAATGGTATGTTATGAGCCAAAATCTCTGAATACTGCCTGAACATTCCAGTATGTTATTTTCGTCTGAATTGTCATTTACTCTGCCGCCACTCTAACCACGGCGCATAATACGCATATGCGCAGTTATCTTGAATCGAGTTGATATTTACATCTACCGCCATTACAATCCATAAATAGTAGATTTTTCAATACAATTAATGACCATGCCGGTAATACCAGTTAAACTAGATCAGTCATTATTTGAATAACCTGTCGACTTTCAATTTTGCTATTAGCATATCTCATCCATTTTTTTTTATTGCTTTTCTTTCCGGGGTGGGTGTGGACACTTTTGTTAAGAAGGAGCCCGGGGGGGGGGGGAGGGGGTGTCAACCTAGCTGAAAAGCTAACCAATTTCTATATGTGTCACTAGGTTCCCTATGGGTCACTATCACAGGATATGAACGTTTGCCGCGCCCGTTGTGGTGGGCGTGGCCAAGAGGGGCAAAAGAATTGGATCCAAAAACTAAGCTATAGGCTAGCTCGTTTATTGACCACGTAAATCTTTTGCAAAATGTTTGGGAATGCCCACTGCCAGACATTTTAGGCGATGGGGCGTGTCCGCCAGACTAAAAAAAACAGGTAGCCAAAAACTAAGCTCGATTAGCTCATTTACTAACCACATGAAACTTGTTGCAAAATGTACAGCATATCCACATGTGTCGAGAATCACCAATGCCATACATTTTCAGTGGTGGGGTACCCCCGCCAGACCCCCCTAATTGCCCGACCCCAAAAGCTAAGCTAGACTAGCTCGTTTACTAACCGCATTAAACTTGTTCAGCATATCCACATGTATACCGAATCACCGATGCTAGACATTTTCAGTGGTGGGGTACCCCCGCCAGACGTCCCCAATTGCCCAATCCCAAAAGCTAAGCTAGACTGGCTCATATACTAACCGCATAAAACTTTTTGTAAAATGTTTAGCATATCCACATGTATCAAGAATCACCGATGCCAGACATTTTCAGTGGTGGGGCACCCCCGCCAGACGTCCCCAATTGCCCCACCCCAAAACCTAAGCTAGACTAGCTCATTTACTAACCGCATAAAACATTTTGCAAAATGTTTAGCATATTCACATGAATCGAGAATCACCGATGGCAGACATTTTCAGTGGTGGGATACCCCCGCCAGACGTCCCCAATTGACCCACCCCAAAATCTAAGCTAGACTAGCTCATTTACTAACCGCATAAAACTTTTTGCAAAATGTTTAGCATATTCACATGAATCGAGAATCACCGATGGCAGACTTTTTCAGTGGTGGGGTACCCCCGCCAGACGTCCCCAATTGCCCCACCCCAAAAGCTAAGCTAGACTAGCTCATTTACTAACCGCATGAAATTTGTTGCAAAATGTTCAGCATATTCACATGTATCAAGAATGACCACCGTCAGACATTTTCGGTGGTGGGACACCCCCGCCTCACATCCCTAATTGCCCCCCCCCCCTCAAATATCTAAGCTAGACTAGCTCATTGAAGGAACATTACCAGACATGTTCAGCGGTGGTGTACACCCGCAAGATGTCCCTAATTGACCCCCACCCCTCCTCCTCCAAACAACAATGCATGACAACCGAGAACATATAGGACACTATGGTTAATGTTTTGACACTTTTACTTAGAATTGACTCAGACATTTTCAGTGGTTGGGTATCCCCGTCAGACGCCCTTAGTATCAGTGAATGCCTAGTTTATGTCTTCTGGATCAGTAGTGTGTTGATCTTCCCTAAATTCTAAAGTATTGCATGTAAAACTGTAAATTGCAAATACTACATAATTCGACAGCTCTTGAAGATCACATACTATCAATTACACTGACAACCAATAGCTATTATAATGAGATCTTATATTCAATTTTAAATATTTTGACTGTCTTACTGATCTTGCACCCTCGTATCTTTCCAATCGTTCATGTTTTTCTAAATTTCTGTATACCTTGAGGAGAAGACGCTAATTTTATGTCGAAAGAGCGTTTGAGGTTGCAGCCACCGAACAACAGACTTCCATATTCTATTCACAGTAGCAATGTGTTATCAAGTTGTTATCTTGATTAATTATCAATGTCATTTAATAACTGTATCCTATTTTTAATAAGCCTACTTTGTTTAATCGGCAGTAACCGACGATAGCTGTGACCGACTTCCAACTTCCAAACCGACAGTTTTTCGGAGAAATAAAAGCCCTGGGTTGAGTTAATTCATGCACCCCAGAAATAGCATAACGACGTTATATATGAAGAATGTTTGTTGACTAGTAGACACCAATCAATTTGTCATCACTAATTTACTTTTTGTTTCTCCTGCCCAATTTCGTTTCCCTTCCTTTGCCCCGTCCAGTATTTTTTTTTGTAACTTAAAAGACTGTTGCCCTTTTCTACCGTGATGATCAAGTGATTAAAATAAAAAGATCAAATAAAATGAAACGAAGTATTAACAACATATTAAAGGACTGTATACATACTATATTAACGACTAATCTTCGAACCTGTACACAGGGGTTAAATTACTTAATACAAGCTATTGTACAGTTTGGTCAAACCAGAAAACGCTTTGTCTGAAAGCATAAACACCTACAGACGTTAACGCTAAAGAAAAGATAATGGACAAAGTAAAATGGCCCAGAAATCGGACATAATATTTTCAGAACAATATCTTTGTTATTTTACTATATTTATTACACATGATACATGGATTGTGTGTATTGTATATAATTACTAGTGTATTAATAATACCATAACAATGAAATTATTATACCCAAGGGCTACATATAGAAATCAATAAGTTAACTCGACTATTCTTGATTGTTCAATTAGTTACAAATCACGGAGTTATGTTTCCATTTACGTTAGGCTTGGCGACATCTTGTAAACGCAGGACGATGAAATATTTAGTTATTAGTTGGATTGTTTGTTATGGTATATACTATAAGGAAGAACCCTATACAATTTCTTAATCGTAGATACAAAATTGAACTTCTAGTTGAGTTTTCTTTGGGGAATATTAATTTCTGGGATCGAATTCGTAAGCGGTTCGCGGAATTATCTTTCGGATAATTTTTTGTTTTACTTTCAAGCTATAGATAGAATTTAGTGGGATTTTCCTTTAGGGCATTATGGGGAATCCTATTGAAATTCAGAAAATAAGTCTGTGGTTTGTGGGGGGAAACATTAATGAACCGAAATATTTATCCAGTAACTTGTATGGCCGCTAATTCATAAACTATTATGTTTCACTCACAAATGTCAAAGCCATTATATATAGTCTCGGTACATGTTATTGTTGTACAAATGCGGTCATAAATGTTAATCTGTACATGTTTATCTGGAATGTGATATACTTTATCAAATGGAAATGACAAACCAGTATAGACATTACTATCTACATGAATAACCAAATAAAATAGCTATGTAGATCTACTAGCTCGGTTTGACTATAAAACAAACACAAAATAATAAACAATGCATATAAATAATCGTAACCACATCTTTACTAGCGGTAGGAGTGGGACAGGGTATATTGGCGGAAGTGGCAAATGGACTCACATTCGAGAAAGGCTGGGGGTGGGGGGGGGGTGGAGGATTAATTTTGTTTAGCAATGTTTCGCTTCATAGCATAATTTCAAATACCTTCAAAAGTATACACAAGAAAAGATCACGTCGATCGATATTTTATCGTTTTTGGGCGAAGGCATATAGTGAAATATAGACAAGCGTTGTAAACATATTTCCATTCATTCAAAGCACTTTGAATTTATTGTTATCTTCTAGTTTAGACAATTTTCAGAATTAACATTCTTATTGTCAACATTCACCGTCAACAACATGCTATATGAGTGAATTTTATACATAGAATGTCTGTCACTGGGAAATTAACATTCTCATTGTCAACGAATGCCGTCAACAACATGCTAAATAAGTAAAGTTTATACATAGAATGTCTGTAACGGTATGTCACGTATGAACCAGGCTGACTTTTACTGATACAAGATATAAATCTATCAAATTCAGATATAAATCAATGCACGTCTGCAATATGATAGTTGTCTGCCCTCTTGAAACGCCAGTAGTTTAATTTTTAAATGCTATAGAGTGGCGTTAGTCATTTTAAAGCAGACAAATATGCTTAGGTCTAAATAAAATATTCAATTCAGTCAATCTGATATTAGCGCTGTCCGATTAAATCCGGAATTTCATTTCTCTGTTTGGCTTGAAATGTTGATTATTGAACACAGAATCGGTAATGTATCTCAACATTACTCGTTCTATAGTAGGGACCTAAAATTTAAAGGTAAAGACACATGTCCATTTCGCAAAAATAAATCAATTCATTCTAATCAAAGA